AAGACTTATCCCTATGACCTCATTACTAAATGAAGGAGTTGATATAAGATTGAGGTTTTCACACATTGCCCATAACTCTCCCTTTATATATTGACATACACATTGTTTGTTTGACGAACAATCCAGGTTATGCACTTGCGCAAATGTGGAAATGAGAAGAAATCCAAGTTCAATCGCCACAAAGTTCATCACTCTACAGAAGATTAAATACAGCTATAAGATGAATAAAGAAGAGATCATCTCCCCTTTTTGTTTCACCTAGGAAAAGGATTAGAAAAAAAATAAAATTGCAACAAAAAAAACGTGTAAATGTTTACTTACAATAAAATACCTCCTGTATTTTTTTCTTATTTAATGTTTAAGCCTTTGATGCTTTTTTTTGGAACTTTTTGGAAACTACTTGTGTGATTTTTATTCAATGGTTTGATTGTGCTTTTTTAATTTTTTTTTTTTTTTTTTTATTCCTGGATCTCTTAGTTAGAACCGTTTATATTGCATACACAAAATGAGGTAGAAGAGTTGCATGCAGATTTTAATCACATGGATATATACAAGTGCATATAGAATCCGTTTTATTAATATATTTTAAATTTAGCAACAGCTGGGAAAGTGGTGTCCAAATGTTTTCGGTCAAAAATAATTAACAAAAACATGGCAAAGGAAAGTACAACTGTTTTTGTCATTTTTTTTTTTTATTTCAACAACTGTGAAATATTGAAAATAGATAAACATTTGTGTATAAAAGTTACACCTTAAGAGGGGAATTTTAGGATAATATTCTTTCAAAGTTGTCTCTCCTATCAGAGGGCATCCTCGCAAGCCAGGGGTCCTGAGTCAACACGTTGCCGTTGGACCCCTGGCATATTTCATCAATATTCGTGGGCTTGCTTCTCTTATTGAGAAGCACCAATCAAATTAAAGCTTTCAAAAAAAGTTAGATAAGGATTCAGTTGACACCTCAAATGCACGTATTACAAGTTGTTTATCATAGAATGGCTTAATGTGATTGGTTGAGAGATAAGAAAAACAATCAAGATTTGTAATTTTTCCGAAAGATGTCGCTACAGTCAGCCTAAAATATTGAATGAAATATGCCAGGGTCCAACGGCAACGTGTTGACTCAGGACCCCTGGCTTGCGAGGATGATCAGAGGGTCGTTAGATTTTTTTTTTACCCCGTCTTTAAGAAAAGTTTGAAATTGTACCATTACTGCCGTTTAAAAACTATAGTACACTAAAGAACTTTTCATTTAATATATATATATATATATATATATATATATATATATATATATATATATATATATATATATATATATATATATATATATACTGTAATTTTTCTTTACCGAATCTAAATATGATTCAACAACATATCATTTTTTTTAAAGTCTCCAAAAGTCATAACAATTTTCCGAAAAAGGAAGTTGAGAAATTCACCTTGATTTTCAGGTGTGCAATTTCTAACTCTTTTTCTGCACTTAAGATCACTTGGATTTAAGTGCAACTTTCCAGTTACAGAACAATTATCTTCGTGTGTAAGTACAAACACCATGTCAGGGTCCTGTGATTATGCGCATTTATTTCTATTTGAAAAAGTAAACAAAACCGAGTTTAACCATGTTATCGATTTGTTGAACCTTGAAAAAAGAAAAGCAATGAATGTTTGGTAGCCTTGTATGAAATGGTAAACCCGTGTGATTCCCCAACATTTTGTGCTCTATTTTCACCCTAACATGATCCCTGTTCAAACGTTTTCCTTTTTTGAGTCATCAAAAGATTTTTGAAACGTCATAAAATATAAAAAATAGGATCATCAAAATGAATTATATATTGTTAGGGAAATACATTAATTCTCAATGTAGACAAACTTTAAAAGGGCTGTCTTCCTATTTTTTTTTTTTTTTTTTTTTTTTTTTTTTTTTTTTTTTTTTTTTTTTACTATAAGTCATCGGTTACATTGCAGAGTGGTTAATACAACCAATCTAAAAGATTAATTACAACATAAATTTAAAGTTCCAATTTATTTAATATCAAAAAGCTTGTTAACAATTAAAAATTTAGATAAAATCTAAATTGATGAATAGCTGCAAATATAGAGAAAGACAGTCTACTTAGGTACTGTAAAGATCAATGTATAATATAATAAACACTGAATACAGGTATATCAGAATTTATACATCACTTATTCTCAAAACAAAAAAGCATACCTTTTTTTCCTCAATCAGAAGTTAACTTCCTTTGAATATGTGTGCAGTAAATTCCTGAAAATTATTCAATATAGTTCGCGTAATTGAAAATGCAGAAAATATTTATTTCTTTCCTCGTTCTGAAAAGCACTTGCAATTTATGTAGTTTGTCAACGACCTAATTTGATAAGTACGTCTGTCAACGTTGCAATGGTATATGCAATAATTGTACACAGCACAGCTCTTTAAGTTGAAATTTTCTTCATCTGTATGTTTTCTCTCTTATAACGTTTGATATATCATTACAAGTGATAAAAACAATAAGTATTATCAGAAAATAGAGAATGTGGGAAATAAAAGCAGAAGATGAGAGTCGATTTCATGAGACATTTTTCCCCATATTAGAGGAATAGACGGAAATTCAAACATTTACTTCGTAAGTTTGATAGTGTTAAGTTAATTTTCATTTTCCCCCTATTTTTTAAACATCATTGCATTATCTTAAAAGGATATTAGAATCCCGTTGTTTGTAAGGGATAGAGTGTCTTAAATTTCGTTCTATTTCATTATGATGTACTTTTTTTCTCAGAATATGGCATAAAATTGTCTTTTAAAGTCAACGTTTACAGGATAAAAAAGTGATTTTTGGAGAGTTCACTTAGCACAAAAACAAATCACCTATCACTTATTATGGCTTAAGTGGATAAAATGTCGACAATTATCTTTATTATATATTCTCTTTGAAGTCCCTTTATAATTTATACAAATGCTAGCGCGTTCCTGGTATTATGTAACCCTGGGATATGGAGCATTATTCACCGGGAATTAAGGTATTTCCATCCTCGAAATTTTATGGGTTCAAAGAAGAAAAACTGCATTTATTTTCACTGAATATAGATCAAATTAATGAATAACAGCAAAAATTATATATAGGTTGCCATATTTTTTAGGATGTCAGACATAGTTAAACAGAAGCATATTTCAGCATTAAAAAAATCGTACGTTTTAGTAAACATTATTATAAAAATAAAAATAATGTAAAAACTGGTTCAATTACATAATTGTGATGCTTAAGTTCCAAATTAATTCCTTTTTTATAAATATGTTTGAATTGTGAATATCAGGGAAAAACATTTTACATTAGAAATACAATAAGGAAAATGCCTGAATATATATGATACATGAGAAGGAGTTATTGCCCTTAGCAACAGCAGGATTCAATAATTGATTAAATAAAGAAAATATTCATTTTTTCTCAATTCTTTTACTAAACAATATTTGTTATTACACCCATTGAAAAACATTCTTCTAAAAGATATGTTTCTATAGGGTATGAATTTAAATTAATAACAGTTTTTGCAAAAACCTATGACATCACAGGAGGTTAGAAAAACCTTAATGTGCTTGTTGCGACTATTGCGACATCACAAACGACATCTTACATAATGTAAAAAAAAAAAAAGAAATGGTTGCAAGGATCGGTGCCAGCTGTGAATCTCAGCAGGAAAAAACATTTTGCAAGCCCATGGCGGATTATTACCCAAAAACTTCGACGGGAAATGATGTATTACACACTTAGAAGAGAAATCACGGAAGATATTACTTGTATGCAGGATTGTTTAAATCTTTTTTCGACAGAAATTCCTTATTGAAAATAATGTCGTTATGCAGCCTTCACTTTCTTATGTATTCAAATCTGTACTATATAATAAAACAATTATGGTCTCTTTCGGTGTCGAGTAATGCTAGCCTAGAATAACCTTTTTTCTGTAAATATGGATGGAATTATTTTCATGTTGCCATCTTTATTCTGTTTCTTGCCATCCACAGTCATCATACAGATGGCAGACTCGAGACGTCTGTTGTCCAATATAACAGGTGTCTTTTTAGTTCAAATCAAATCAAATATTAACACATTGTATAGTCAATGAATCTAAGGCTTAAAAAAGTACTCCACTACGACGTCTATAAATAGTAAAATATGCCTAAATGAGAAAGTGAAAAGTTCAAGACTACCCTGGGAATAATTAATTTCTGTTTGTTATAATAATTATGTAGAAACATAGCTGAACCATGCAATTTGCTGCTGGAATCCTACTTTTTCCCATCACAGAAGTAATTATTCCAGACTTTCGAATGAAAGTTATATATTTTTTTTTTTTACATTCTGTACATACGATCGAAAATATTTTATCCATTCATGTTAACCACTCGATTCTAGCAGCACTTTTCAAGCTTTTTATATAAAGAAAAATTATGTTCCAAATTATGCGGGGTATTTTGAACATTTGCATTTTTGCTGTAAAGAACGTCAGGGGAAAGGCTGACCTGGATTTTAAAACATTACCTGTCTTCATTAAAAGAAAAGGTAAAAATAAATCAGCGTACCTGATGCTTAATCTTTAATTCTTTACGAATCGCGAATGATATTCTCGGTATATGCTTTTTAACTCCCATTTCGTATATATGTTAATATGAATTTTCTTTACGTTTCATTTTAACTTGGCAAATATTTGATCAACAGTTATGATGTCATGCGTTAAACAATTAGCCCGGTTAAAAAATACTTCGAGATTTTTTTCTTTCATATATTAACATGTTTCCATGCATTTTTTGGACCTAAAATTCTCTTTAATATTAGGAAATAGTTATTCTTAAAGTTCACCTTATACAGCTTTCTGTGACGTCATACTGTATATCAGGCAAGTAGAATGCCTTGATGTAACTTTGAAATTTATCTATGACTGATATGAATGTTAGCTGTTAACAAAGGTACATATTTCTTTACAACAACAAAAAAGGAACAAATAAATGGTTGTATGAACGAATTTATTTCAATACTCGTCATCAACTAAAACAATAACACAGCAAAATGAACTAAATTGAAACTAATTGCATATATTTTCATACACTTTCATAATGTATTCTTCATGCTTTCACATATTAAAAATAATACTCTTTTAAAAGCTGATGTCTGTCTATTCTGCGAAAACCTGATTGGAACACACAAAAAGCAACATAAAACGTTGTTTAAGGGACGGACGACAGATTTAAATCCATCAAAAATTAGTTTTGGCCTGCAACAAAGTACCATATTTGATCTTAGTGGTAGTTAATAAAGTTTTCAAGAGATAAGATAATTCTAGCTCAATGGTAGAAAACGTTGCACATTCAAAGAGCAAGTGCTGATGCAAGAATCAGTTATACCGTTGAAAAATAGATTCTCCAACTCCAAATTGTAAGGAGATACTTGCTTTTCTTTGAATTGCCTAGCAATAAAGTCTATGTAAACCTAAAATTTCAAAGGAATAAACAATTTTTGCAAATGAAATAACGTGTGCATTCTACAGATTTGCACGTTTTAATCATAAACATTTTTAAGATCATAAGTACAATAAGGTCATAAATACATTAGGTTCATAAACATAACCCCAAGAACTTATCATCTCTTTAAAGAAACACTTTACTCCTAGCAACTTATCCCAATGAAGAAACACGAAAAGAAATTGGAAAGGAATTTAGAAAAAGCCTAGCCTTCAATTTGATGACAATTGTTGTGCATTTTTCAATTCATATATGTGTTTAAAGATAATTCGAATTAATTTCAGATTTCTGATGTAAAAATGAAACATATCTGACAAAGAGCATTGATAGTCAATTTTTTACACTAACTTAGCGTAACTAGCTTACTTTACTAAATTAGCTTACCTAGCTTAACTAACTTAACTTACCTTAACTAACTTACTTAATTAACTTAACAAACTTATACGATACCACCCTTTTGCATTATTATTCTTTTTTTTTTTCATTATCCGTGAAAAAATGTATTTAAATATCATTGATGTATATAAACTGGAGTTCTATTAAGTCAATCTTTATTTTTTATTCTGAAATAATCTATCTGATAACATTCTTAAACAGAATATACAGTAATAGATAAAAAAGAGATGCATGTAAGTTGTACAGTAGACGTAGAATAAAATTGCCCAATGTTTACCTTCAATACCCAATGCTGAAAATTAAAATTTGTGTTCTAATTGATGTCACTTCTGCTTGAAAAATTAAATTAATAAAGGTGCAATATTTTATACATCTTAAAATTTTGATTTTCTAGCTACACACTCGAATTACAACATTTTCATTACCTCCTTTACTGAAAATGGGTTTTGAGATGTTCATTAACTATAAACATAGATATACATTTAGCTTTATGTATATAATGTGAAATCACTTATTTTCGTGAGGGTTTTCTTTGTTATCGAGGTATGAAGAGACCCATAAATTTAAGTCCACCACGAAATGTGATTTTCCACAGATATTACTACTCAACAATACCTCATCCTCAAAATCAAATCTCCACAAACCCATATTTTTTTCCTCAAACCACCAAAATTTGACCCCATGAAAATATATGATTTTACAATAATATTCTACAACTTTATGTTGGCAATCCATATTTCATTTGATCAGCCTACTTTTTTCCCCCAATTCATAATTTAAAAAGGTTACTTAACTATGATACCAGCTTTATTCAGTCTTTACTTTTCAATCTTCTATAATGTTGACAGTGACATTTTTAGATCCGCCAAATTTCTTGCCAATTATGGGTTTAAAAAGCCTTGATCCACCAGCCACTGCTTCACTATGTCATAGTTTTTGTCCATCCACTTGATGTTGCTTTTCGTTTTCTCTATAGCCTGTTGGAAGGCCCGTGTTCCTGATCCCATGTCGGGATTCTCTCTCAGGAAAGCTTCCAACTATTTATAGAAAATATCATTCATAAATATTCATTTTATTTTTTCTTTGCAAAATCAAAATAAAAAATGTCTTTAAGACATAACTATATATATTTACAAGGTTTGTTTATTTTATCAGTTTGTAAAGGTAAAAAGACATTTTTCTCAGAACTGAAATTGATTCTTTATACACAGAGCAAAAATGCAAGATGCAGAACATACATATTACAAAATAAGGAATATAGTTACCTAGACATGCTATATATAAGTATAAAATCAACAAGCGATTTTGGGACATTCAATATTGACGAAAGATGTTTTGTTCAAAAGAAAATAGCACTTCTAGATTTTTTTCTGTCTAATAATTGATCTATTCATATGCTCTTAGTTTACAATGAAACTTTAGTGAAAGAACGTTATGAATGACTAGAATTTGACATGTTCATAAAATACTTTATAATGCGATTATAATCTCCAAAAGCAGAAAAAAATAAGGCATGTATATGATGTCTGTCACCTTAGTAATAAGCTTAGCATAGATTTCAGATACCTGTCTAAGTTCAAACTTAGTGTTAAACCGTGACGTCACTCCCGATATTAATCGTGTAAATGAAAATAAAGACACGCCAAATCTGTAATAAATAACCAAAGACAATTAATAACATATGCCTGTTGTTCCTGTTTTGGAGATATTTATGCTACTTATCTTTAATCATATTGTCTATCAGTGGGTATCATCAAAACTTATTCCGCATTGAAATGATTTTTGTGTGGGATATTGTCTAAAGTTATTTCACACTGTACTGAAGAGTAAATAATTCGAGAGGAAATATTCATCTATACTTGTGATGATTCTTTCTTTCATTCATTCTATATTTCATTCTACGGTTATACCGTTCGTAAAAATTAAAATGAGAAACGCGTAATTGTCTTTTTTTTTTAGTTTACTTGTCCATCAATTTACATTTTGAACAAATGTCAAATTCTATACTTATTAACCAAATTGAATTGCTCATTTAAGACTTAAACCGATGATAGTGTTATATCCCTAAAATGATATATATTTTGCAATAAGAAGATTGGTCTTCACCTAGATGTATACGATATTCATTAAAAAAAGTGATGGTAAATCTTCCTCAGATAAATTCTAAACATGACGGAAAGAAAACCTTGATTTATAGCAAGTTTTCTTTAGACCTTTCAACCCTATCGGGAAACATTTCTCTGTCATTATTGGTCTGTTTGATTTGTCAGAATATTCAACACAAAGTAAACTTGAAGTACTGTGGGCACTGAGCTCACAAATGATACCCCCGCCTCCCATATGATTATAATGGCAAAGTCCATGTTTTGCGATGGGAGACCCGAGATAGGCATCAGATCAAAATGTAAAATAGGAGGTGCACAATGGCACTATGTAATAAAGATTCTGCAAAAGTATCATTTAATTTTATTCAGTGGTATAGGAGGAGTCGCGGATAAGAGATGGGTACCCCTCTATATATAGACAGAATGTCAGTGTCTATGTTTTGCTATTGGATACCCGAAATATGTGTCCAATCAAAAAGTAAACTAATAGGTGCACAATGGCACTATGTAACAAAAATTCTGTGAACTTTTGTAAAAGTCTCATTAAATTTCATTTGGTGGTATAAGAGGAGTTGCGAATAAGAGATAGGTAAACCAAAGGGTAATGGGCTGACGGACACTATCACTATACACATCCCCCGCTTTTCCAGCGGGAATATAATAAGTGCATCTATAATGTGTATTACTTAAAATGTTTAATTATACTTCCTAGCTTTTTAAACTTTAAATGAGAAAACTCGACTGTCTTAACAATCATTTATATGGAAATACGTTCATTATTTCGTTAAATGTTTAAAAATCTGCAAAATTGAAGTATTACATTGTTTATAAATTACTCAAAATAAGTAACTGATTCTGTCCCCTCAGTTATATTTTTAAGTGTTTTTTTTTTTAAACAATGTACATACTGGCCCTTTTCTCACTTTGCACTGTGCTTTCTGAGGATCATTTACTATCAACATTCACATAAGCTAAAAACTTTTAAAACATTTATTTACTCAAGAACATGACATGAACCCGTGCAAATTTTGATATGTGAGTCGGTATATGCATTCCAGTGCACACGAACACTCGCATTGACAGATGACAAACACGTGTAACATTGTTACCTGATGCAATTCAAAGGGGCTATTGACATGGTGTAATACACGTGCTATCATTTTACCGAATTTGCTCATGTTTCCAAAGCTAAAAGAATGAAATCATAGATGATCTTCGAGATTGGTCTGAAACCACTGTGTAGACTCCTGACAAGCAAACTTTGAAATATCAAATGTTGAAAGATATACCTGTATTAATTTTTTAATTAGCAAAAAAGTTTATTCACCCATGTATTTTTAGGCTTGCTCGGACAACAAAAGGACCTACAAATACATGTATGGATGGTTTGTTACTGGTAATTCAAGAAGAAATATGGAGGTAACAAACAGTAATCAAGCTCAAAGGTCCATTGAAACAATATAAATCGGGAACAAAGCAGACACAGACCTCTATAAAACATTTGAGGTGGGATCAAGTGTCATGGAGGAGTAAGCGTCCCCTGTCGACCGGTCACATTCGCATATGCTCATTTTCATGATCATGAAAAAAAATATCCATAGACAATTTACTGTTAAAAGTGTTATGTTTTTTATTTGATTTTTTCTATGAATTTTTAATAGGATTAACAATGCTCAAAATCAAACCTAACCCTAAGCAAGCAAAATCAGAATTCCAGCTGTATAATCTTAGGTCATATGCATGCGCTTCACCTTTATGACCAAATTACCTCTCGTAATTCATATCGTGTGTTGAGTTTAGTCAAACTTCCAGCAATAAGACGTGAAAATTTATATAAAACACTCCCCTGTCTGAAATGTTAATTAATCATGTAAACAAGGTGTACACTAAAACGAACTTCAAATCTCTAATTTTACACCTTACTATCAGTAATTACCATTACTAAGCATATCAATGAAAAAACCACTGTTAATATCCTCTCCTGTCTATGTGAGTCTTGAGTCTATTTCTTTTCCCTTAATTCAAAAGGTCATTTTTGTTTGAGTAAAATATATGAATTGATCTATGTTAATACAACTTCTATAATTATTATGCTTTATACACGTTTTTACCCTGTGAATTATCTACATTTTTCCATTTATAGGTTACATATGTAGATGCAGAAATAAACACAGTTTAATCATTTGGAATGAACCTTATTTCTTTATTTCAAAGCTGAAGATAGTTTGGAATTTCCGTGTTCATATTTACATCAAATCAAACAGTAGCATATACTGTTTATTCCACAATATGACAAAAATTGGCAGAAGAAAGCGGGTTAATCTGGCTATGCAAAATTGGTTTTCTGTTATAAAGAGGTTAGGCTACATCATCTCATTGATATCGGAACCGACTGAGAGTCAAATCTATAGATTTAGCAGATATGCAAAGAACATACATGTTTTTTTCACACTGAATTTAGATCTAAAATAGTAATCAACGATGAAGAAATGAGAGTACATAAAATACATACATCTTAAATCACTTACCAATTTCAAGAATTCAAGAAATTTAACAGAAAGAGAGAGATGTATCGAGAGAGAACCGGATTAAAAATTCATAAATTCTGTAAAAAGAATTATAACAGTTCAAAATGAAATCAAAAATAGTTGATGCTTACTCTTTCAGTAGCTGACTCCAGTGCTCTCGAACAAAATCCCAGGCAAGGCCACGCCCTATTTCATTCTTAGATATATAGGTTATGACGTCAGTAGCATCTTGTTTACGTATTTCTGATGGCGTAAGCGAATATTTAAGATATCTGCAATGATAAAAACATCGTTAATGATTGCTTGCATGATGATGTCAGAGGCCACTCCTTCTAAATTCCCATTAAGTCATATGCCATTTTGCGTATGTTCCTGGGCTTTCTAAATAAACCTGCAAAATATAAAAAAAATGTTGAGAAGGACATGGGGAATATGTTTTTTGTTTTCATTCTCTTTCAACGCTGATTTTCCTTGATTGAACTTTTTGCCCTTGTCATTGCAGCTTTACCTCAACATGACTTTTAAACCATTGGTAATGAATATGGGATTAAATATTTATTCAAGTTATGGTTAAAACGGTGAAATAATGAAATATGGAGATTACGAAAAAGTAATCAAGCTCAAAGTCCATTGAAACAAGAAACAGAGAAAATACGGACCTCTAAGTACATCAAGGAATCTTCAATTTCCTGCTGATCGTGTATCTTTACATTTCTATAAGTTGCAATTCCTACAAAGCTCATCAGTCATTTCATAGCAAGCTATTCTTTATCGCATCCCAGACACTTTAATTCATTAGTAGGTTTTGCATTAGAATTATACAGAATCCAAATCATACTACACAAAAATAAAAAAAAAAATAAAAAATAAACCGGATGAGTCTTTGCCATTCACTCCACTAAATCTTCACTGAAAGGTCTGTAAAGGTGATGGAATGGCCGAGCTCCATAATTCAGCCACCTCGCAATAAACTTTCAATTACATTTCAGTGAACTGAATGTCTTATCTCCATTCTGTGAATCAGCCTTACCTACTTAAAATCCAGACTTCTTTGGAACAAGATAACGCCAGCATTAGTCTAGATTTCTCTGAAGCTAGGTTAGATTGCTGGTACATCTTGTAGGCAAAATCCCATTCCTCAATACCACCATGTCTAATGGATGAGCAGTAAACAGTCAAACGAATTGATGACCGAATTCTAATGAAAAAAAGAAGGAAAACGTGCCATGTTAATACGATATACCTCATCAATAATGCACTACCCTAGAAATTAGGTCAATTTATATGACGTTTATAAAAATGTACAACATTAATTACTTGCTATCGGATGCTTTGAATATGATCTTCTATAGTGATGTAAACACTCCTTATGATTCATAAACAATATGATATATGCTTGTTGCAACAAATATGTTTCAGTGTTAACAATATATGTAATATACATGTTCAAGATCATATATAACAACAGTGTTGACTTGCTGAGCCCTGACAAACATGGTGACATACCCTCGCTTATTTGTCTAAAGCAACAATCCATGCATTAGCGTACCTATGTGAAATTCTTACTTTTCCTATTGTATAATCAATAATATCTTAATTAAAGTTGAAAATTTCGATGAAAATATCACAAAATTTCGATTATGACCAAATAGAAAAAGGCAAACCCAATAAAATAAGCTTAAAATAATATAATTAATATTTCACGTGCAGAATTTTGATATTCCCACATCTTACTTACGGATTACTGTGTGGTGTTTGTTTCCAGAGTTTGAAAAGTCTGGACGCCTCATCGACACAACTTTGCAATCCATATTTACACGCTTCAGCAGCTATCAGTGTATTAACATACCTGGAATTTTTTTTTTTTAAAGTACAATGATGTATACTGAACTCCTTTTTGTCTTAATTTGAAAGAAAGTGACAGAAGTAGATTTTCATATACCCTTATAATTTGTACATAAGATTATCAAATACCAATTATATCAATGATTTCCATGGTAAAATTAAATTAAAAAGCATTAGATAACAAAGTCTATAGTCCCTATCATCTGTAATTTATTTGCAATACTTACGATTCAAGGTGAGTAAAATTAGAACTGCTCAAAGAAGAAGGATTAAATATACCACTGACTTTGTTTCTCATGAATTTCTGAAAATTGAAAGACACGAAAATAATTTCGCTCTTAATGTACATACTGTATATCAAATTATAAAGTCTAACTTATATGGTTATTGAACATTAATACAGCAATGTAAGTCATTTACAGCAAAAATATCTTTCATTGAATCATTTTGCAAAGACAATACTTCATACCAAATGTATATTTGTATCATTTAGATCTAAATAAATGACTTTATCAAAATTGAAGTAGAATTTCAATACACATGTTGTATATGAAATTGCTTGATTTTTTAAACAATACTTACAGAAAATGGCCCGTACAACGCTGTCCTTTCTAGCATTGAATCTACGTAACCTAATTCACGCAGAGCTGCTTGCCAGGCCACGAATTCTGTCTCTTTGTCTAAATAATTCACAGTTTTAAGGGCAATAGTCATGCTTAAGTCTCCTGATCTAAAAAAAAATACAGCATGGTATGAAATAAAACAATGTTGGGGGAGGGGCTTTTAAATCAGAAAATTATACATGCTTCCATTATTTAAAAACTATACATTTTACTATGAAAAATAAATTCCTTGCATTTTCAAGCTTGTTTATATTCATTCATTTGCTTTATCAGTCTGCAATATTCGCTCTTTTAATTACAGTTTGAAAACAAATAAATTATTCAGCTTTTTTACTTAGCCAAATTCCATGCATCATTGATAATCTGTGCTCTGTTTACTGAATGAATAACCTGAAATAAAGCCAAAATAACGATATTTTTAAATTTTATTTTTTTATTAAAAATAGTGGTAAAAGATAATTTTGAAAACCGTTTAATAGAACAAAATTGATCTAATGAGGGGTAACTATTTCATGTAATTAGAGATTCATTATTGAAGCTGGCAAAAAAGCAAGGCAAATTAAGGAAATTTTCACCGTGTGGTCCTCGTCCATTTGCTGAATAAGTCTATTCCAATTCTCATCACTGTAAGTCACGCGATAATACCCATACTGCATCACATTACCAATTATCCAATGAGATTGTTGTATATTTGATGTTATTATTTCTAGAATGACACAAAGGAAAATTGTTTTTATAAAAGAATAAAATAGCTAACTCTAATTTGTTTTGAGGAATTCAATCAGACTATATGATTATCTTTGAATAATTGGGGGATGGTAATGGGGACACTCTTTAGAAACGGCGATATTCAAACTCACAAACTAATTAGATATTTTGGGAGGAATTAAGCTACAATATCTAATCATGTAAACCACAAATATAATTAGGAAAATGTCACAATTCAAGAATCGGGCTATCCAAAAAATACAAACCTTGTTCTGTCTTATGCATCCAATGAATATCACCGTCAGTTTGATTAAAGTTTGGACTGGATTTTGTTGTATAAGTAAATGGTATTTCCCATTTGTAACTGTAATTTACAAATGTCAACTATTTATATAAATGAATAAAACGTTATGGAAAAAAAATTTATCTTTCTCTCTTCTTTTCTTACTTAAAAGGTGACACATATTTCCCAGGATCCACTGCGTCATAATCCCTGAGATATCTTTTCTGTGTGAGGCGGATGTTGCCGTCCGCCATGACAGTTACCTTGACGACGGGAAAATTCATTTGAAGTGTCCATGTATCCATAATCTCCTTAACATTTATATTCTTTTGCTCTATGGCAGATTGCTGAAATGAAAATCAAATACAATATATATAAAATGACCATTTTTGTAAAGATGAAATCAACCTACTGAAAAAAGATGTACATTTATATGTATAACCAGAAAAGAAGAATGGAAGAAAACATTGGAGCTGCCTCTTTACTATATTTTGACAATGCGATAATGAATTTAAGTGTTTCAAACTTAAGTTCATAATTGTGAAAACAGCAGAAATATACATTCTTTATTTCAATTTTATGTATATATAAGATGTATTTTCACTTACATTTCCAAGAGCGTACCACAAGTCGTCATGGAAAGCTGCTTTATATTCCAGTTTCTTCAGATATCTCTAATAATTGCAAAATAGAATTAAGAACTGAGAATCTTGTCTTTATCTAAATCATGCAGGATTTTCATACTGTGTTTTTAAGTATAAGCTTTCAAAAAAATATGTTGTTTTTTTTTTCTCTTTCAGGAATATTAAGGCTAGAGTTGGGTCCTTTTGTTTTTTATATCTAACTTAGAAGTAAGTATTAGACCCAAATTAAACACTAAAAATACTGTCTTCTCCAAAATTAAGATTGATTTTATTGAAAGTATGAAATAGATAATAGCCAAATTGAAATCTTGTTCAATTTCCAAATTTTGCACATGTACCAATTTTACTCAATTTTTAATTTCAATTCTGTATATAATGCATATTGCGTTTAATTAATTCGAAGAAGACAATCTGGAGCGCTAATTGATTTGATGTGAATACATTTTTGAAATAAATTTATAGAATTGGTTAGGACTCAAGTTCTACAAACTTCGTTGCTAATTGTATGCCCATATATTACATTTTTCACAAGTGTCAATATATCAAAGATAAACTCGCATATGCCCTGTGCTTTCTAAATTTAACCTTTATCAAAACGGAAATTTAAATGTAAAATGTAAATAATTAAAATATAAATGAGAAAGAAACTTAAATATTGTTCCACTTATTCGTTTTTTTAAGATAAACATTTATGCGGTAAATTAAACTTAGCACATGTACTGACTTTAAACTTGATATTATTATATCTTCTAAAAGACAAACTTCACAACATTTACTGAGCTTTGACTAACATGCCAATTAATGAACTTAAACTAAGCCGTCTCCAATCATTGTTAAGTCCCTAACTGAGATTATCCTTTACTTTTTTTCTTCAACAAATGATGAGTACCGCACCTTAAGACCATTTTTAAATGTTCCCTCTCCTAGGAAAAACCTCATCATCCGAATGATGGAAGCACCCTGAAATGTAAATGGATACATCATAGAGTAAAACTTTTTGATTGCTGATGGGAATTTCCGATTTAACATCACAGTTTCTTTTCTTCTTCACCCATGGATACTACATACTATTAACTGGTAAAAAGAAAGTCTTGGCCATTTTCATCAGAAGTTGAAAATGTTTAAAAGTATAACAACGACGAGCTGCGCACAACGCACGGTGACAAAAAGAACCCCCCCAAAAATACCAAGTCAGATGCGTGAAGTAGGTGACCTTAAAATAATTTGTTCATTAGAATTGTTAAAAAAGAATAAGTAGAATGTTTGAAATACCTTTCCATACGATATTCTATCGAATATCTCATTGATCTCATCAGGGTGAGAAACAGGTACATAAACCGGATGTGACGTCACTAGTCCATCAAAGTTAAAAACATCTTGTACGTCTTCAACAACAATTTGATCGAACTAAGTATTGAAGAAAGGGGAATATCAGTATGTGTAATAGAATACGCAAATGCTTATCTCTAAGGCAAAAAAGAAGAAAAAATAGAAAGACAGTTGCAGTTTCCATGAAAGAGACAACAATTTCTTACTGATTAAATAAAAGCATTCAAAGGAACGTTTGAGGCATTTTTTTAAGTTACAAAAATCAGTTAACATGGCAAAGAGGACTTCTGCAAGAAAGTTTGAGTTCTACTCAAGTTCATATTCTCTCTCTCTCCCTTTTTCATCATCATCATGCTCTTCAAATTTATCAGGAAATCAACGAACCATTTTCCAGTCCGGATGAACGTAGTCTACACCCATGTATTCTACAAAGCTGGCGAATCCTTCATTTAACCAAAGGTCATCCCACCAGGACGGGGTGACAAGATTGCCAAACCACTGAAGAAAAAGGAAGTAGATTGTTGAGTATCTCGTAATATAAATTACACAAGTCCAGTGGAGATGTCAGAAAGGAAACCGCCACCTCCCCATAAGATTGAGAATGTTTTGATATATGCTGTCTAATTCATTTTAACTACACATATTGTGAGTTTCCCTTGTCATTTAACTTTTTTCTTACATATGTACCCCCTCCTATATTTAATAATTTTGGATAAGCCCCCTCTAATAGACATGTATGGACTTAAGATAGGGAAGTAGTAAATTAGTTTGCATATTGAAAACGATTTTAAACTAGTCACTTTTCCTAGAAAAAAAAAACTTTCAAAAGGAAAAATGTTAAAATATTGCTAATTCCAAATCTAGTCATTTCAAGACTAATGTATTATTTAAAACAACGAAAGAAGTCATCATAACCTACAGCGACACTGTTAGTTAAAATAAAGTTATTGCAAACCTGATGAGCTAGTTCGTGTGAGACTACAACTGCTACCCTTTGTTTATTAGACTCTGACGACTCGTGTTTGTCGTATAACATGGCGGTCTCTCTGTATGTTATCAATCCCCAGTTCTCCATGGCACCAGCAGCAAAGTCCGGAAGTGCTATCATATCTGTAGAGGAATTGAACACAGCATAATTATGAACAACAAAGATGAACAAGCTAAGTCCGTAATTATGAACAACAAAGATGAACAAGCTAAATCCGTAATTATGAACAACAAAGATGAACAAGCTAAATCCGTGTTAACCGGGTTAAATAACTGCTTTTTAAAAAGAAGACCATGTTGCAATGTCAATGAAATAGTACATTATTTTTTACTTGAAAATAATTTGAGATTGTTGATCACTTTTTAATGTCTAGCATAAAATTGATCAACTCCATCTAAGTAATACAATGCTTGTAAGAGGGGACCCAGAAAATTTTAGATTTTCCTTCAGAAAAAAACACCTCAATTTGGGTTCAAAAAAACATTTTTAGCCTAGATTACAATGAAGGAGGGCTGTTTGAAAAGTTTGCGGATTTCCGTCACAACTTTTTTTTGTATTTTGTTTTTTGATTTAACGTCATATTTTATACAAATTTGGTTTTAACAATAAAGTCGTATTGTTAGAATCTAAAATTTCAACCTTATCCAAAATTTAAGATAACGGTCAACATTCACTAATTTACAAACAAAGTTTTTGATAGTCAGTAGTCATATCGCTTTAAAATTTGGTAAAAACGAAAATAAAAATCAAGTGGTTCATAGTAAAAATTGCTACATTATTACAAATGCCAAGTTTTGACTTAATATTTTTCTTCATTTAAAAGAAGTAAATTTCAGAAGAAAGGTAGTCCTTATTGAAAAGGGCCAAAATATGTCCGAGAACATTTCGTTGATTGTATTGATTGTATGTAGTTTAACGTCCCATTTGAGAATTTTTCACTCATACAAAGACGTCACCGAATGGTGAAGGGCTTCAAATTTAGACCTATACTCGGCACTCGGGGCCATTGCGCAGTAGGGGTTCTTTATCGTACCAACGCCTACTGTGATACAGGACCTCGGTTTTTAAGGTCTTATCCGATAGATCAGCGACTTTCACTTCTGATGCCGGGCGCTATGCGAAGGAACAGTCACTAGTTGTGTTTACGTCTTAGGTTTGACGCGGCGCGATGAATGAGAATCGGACTTGGGTCTCCTGATCATGAAGCGAAGGCCCTACCTCTAGGCTACCGTGACTGGTTGCGAAATTTCGAACAACCCAGGTAAGTATAAAATTTTGAAAATTATACTGGGCTAGGCACCCTCCCTCACCCCTTAATAAACCCTTTACTATCCAACTATCCAAGATATCAACCTAATAACATTACCAGCAAAACTTTTTTTTGTCTTGACACATTTATCATATTGAAGATATGATTCCTCTTTGATTTCCTGCAACATTTAACACGATTCCATGTTTATATACGAGTATTGTCCGGTAAAATCGTGGACAAAACGTTTTTCTCGAAAAATAATAGCCGAACTAAGCTGAAATTTTCAGCAAATGTTTATTCATCATATTTTAGTGCATCTTAATATTTTTTATAAAATAAAGACAAAAATAAAGATTTTATTATGCTTGAATGTGCACAGGGTACGGTCCTACTGCGCACGATAAAAAACCAGGTTTTATTAGCGAATACTCGAGTATTATTTCGAAATAAAAGTATTAAATAGATAAGGTTGGGGTAAAAATTATCCTATTTTTAATCCACTATCTATTATTTCGCCTTTTGTAAAATATCAAGGCATTTGCTTAATTTTTGGGAGTTTTCCGAGCAATTGAAATGGGAAAGTGGTAAACGCAACACACGAAAAATGGCGACGTTTGGTGACGTTACGGCGCACCGGAGAGCAGTTCAGTTTGATTTAGATGTAGTAATGACGCTGTCACTGCAGACCGTCGATATAAGGTAGCCTATTTAGTTGAATGATAGTGAGAGTACTGTCCATAACTTACTATTAAATCTTCAGAAGGTCCCATGTGTGTGCGAGATTGGTTCATCGACTGTTTATGGAGGAATAAAGGGAAAATCATGTATGTGCATCAATGAAATCCCCGAATTTTAGTGGGGCTTATCCAAGTTTTGTTTAGCAAAGAGGAAACGTGACGCTGCTTTAGACACTTTGACGTTATCATCCGTGCACCGTAAGGCGATACCACACATAACAAAAAGTCTCATATTTTGTTTATTTGAGCAGATATCTATTTGAAATTTGCTATGTATATTGATGAAAAATGTACTGAAAAGTAGTGAAAGTTTTAGAACGCAGTGATGAATATTTTTCAATTTAGACAACTTGTCCACGATTTTACCGGACAACCCTCGTACATGTAAGGACGTTATGCAGCAATAAAGACTGTACTTAATGTACATTAATTCATTTTAAATGATTATAATTGTATCCAATCGTTAAAATCGCCGTGTCAGTCGACTTCTGTGTGGTACAAAGTAAAGACCCTTTTCGTTGTGATCATTAACAAGAGGCCCAAGGGCCTTAACGGTCACCTGAGTATAATACAACAATTTAGAGGATCCCTAGAGTATAAAATTGAAAGGTGAAACTTTGTTGCCCAAAAGCAAGAAAAATAGGGTGATCGGGATCAACAAAATAATTAGTTTAGTATTCATAAACAGTTCATAAATTAGGTTCATATCTGTTCCCAATTTTTCACTATCACCATACAGTATATTAACAAACTATGAGTGCTTCTGTACTATTTAAATTCCTTGTGGAGATGTCTTACATTGGCCTCTCTTGGTCTTTAATGAACATTTAATAAAACAAGTAATTTTTGTCTCATTTTTATTTGTCTATTAATTACAAGTCTACCTGATCATTAGAACTATGAAAGTACTTTTTGTATTATACAATAAAAATTCTTGCATAATTCTCTTATTCTATTAACCTTTCAAATACTTTATTTACAGTGATTAATCATCAAAAGTAAATGGCAAAGGGGAATAACTCCTCTCAGTAGCATACAAATTAATAGAGCCCAGGCAAGGACCAGAACACTTGACCAAATAGTCCAGATGTTCAAAAATCTGGTAAAAATACCCTTCCTTATTAAAACTTTTACTCTTTTTGCCTCTGATATGCCCAGGTGCAAAGAAGATTTTTAAAGAAATAATGCATTTTTACTCAGATTCACTATATTATCAATAGAACCCCCCCCCCCCCCCCCCCCAAGAAATACCAGAGCCTCTGACCATGGGACCAGAAGTTTGTTCATCATAAGTTATCACTTTGTTTATCTGCTTAACACTAAGGAGCAGACAGGATTATTTAAAAGAATTAATGCATTTTCACTATATTATCAAGAGCCCCACCCTTAAACCAGCACATCTGACCCAGGGGTCATGAAATTCACTACTCTGGAAAAAGCACTCTTGCTCATCATAACTATACACTTAGCTTCTTTGCTTTTTCACCAGAAGCAGAAAAGAATATTTTAAAAGAAATTTTGCTTTTTCACTATATAATCAATAGATCCCCCCCCCCTTTTCACCAGAACCCTTGACCCTAGGGCCATGAAATTCACCATTTTGGAAGAGGTATCCTTGCGTATCATAACAGTGTACATAGTTCGTTTAAAAATACCCAGGGGCAGAGAAGAAGATTTTCAAAGAAATAATTCACCTTTACTATAGGATCTATATAGCCCCGCTCTAGCACCAGAATCCCTGTCCCTGGGGCCTTGAATTTCACAATTTTGGAAGAGGCATCCTTGCTTATCATAACTATATACTTAGTTTGTTTAAATAATACCCAGGAGCAAAAAAAGAAGAATTAATGTATTTTCACTATATAATAAATAGAGTCCCGTCCTAGCAACAGAACCCCTGACCCTGGGGCCATGAATTTCACAATTTTGGTAGAGTCACTCTTGCTTATCATAACTATGTATTTAATTTGTTTCAATAATACCCAGGAGTAGAGAAGAAGATTTACAAAGAAATAATGCACTTGCACTATATGATCTATATAGCCTTGCCCTAGCAACAGAATCCCTGATCCTGGGGCCATGAATTTCACAATTTTGGTAGAGTCACCCTTGCTTATCATAACTATGTATTCAATTTGTTAGCTCACCTGAGCTGAAAGCTCGAGTGAGCTTTTCTGATCACCCGTTGTCCGTCGTCCGTCCGTCTGTCCGTCCGTCTGTCCGTCCTTCCGTCTGTAAACTTTTCACATTTTCAACTTCTTCTCAAGAACCACTGGGCCAATTTTAACCAAACTTAGTACAAAGTACCCTTGGGTGAAGGGGAGTTTAAATTGTTAAAATAAAGGGCCAAGTCCCCTTACAAGGGGAGATAATCAAGAAAAGACAAAAATAGGGTGGGGTCATTAAAAAATCTTCTTCTCAAGAACCACTGGGCCAGAAAAGCTGAAACTTACGTGGAAGCATCCTGGGATAGTGTAGATTCTAAATTGTTAAAATCATGACCCCCGGGAGTAGGGCGGGGCCACAATAGGGAATACAAGTTTTACATTGAAATATATAGGGAAAATCTTTAAAAATCTTCTTCTCAAGAACCACTGAGCCAGAAAAGCTGAAACTTATGTGGAAGCATCCTGGGATAGTGTAGATTCTAAATTGTTAAAATCATGACCCCCGGGGGTAGGGCGGGGCCACAATAGGGAATCCAAGTTTTACATTGAAATATATAGGGAAAATCTTTAAAAATCTTCTTCTCAAGAACCACTGAGCCAGAAAAGCTGAAACTTAAGTGGAAGCATCCTGGGGGTAGTGTAGATTCTAAATTGTTGAAATCTTGACCCCCGGGGTAGGGCAGGGCCACAATAGGGAATACAAGTTTTGCATTGAAATATATAGGAAAAATCTTTAAAAATCTTCTTCTCAAGAACCGCTGAGCCAGAAAAGCTGAAACTTATGTGGAAGCATCCTGGGGTAGTGTAGATTCTAAATTGTTCAAATCTTGACCCCCGGGGGTAGGGCGGGGCCACAATAGGGAATACAAGTTTTACATTAAAATATATAGGAAGAATCTTTAAAAATCTTCTTCTCAAGAACCGCTGAGCCAGAAAAACTGAAACTTATGTGGAAGCATCCTGGGGTAGTGTAGATTCTAAATTGTTCAAATCATGACCCGCGGGGGTAGGGCGGGGCCACAATAGGGAAACATTGAAATATATAGGAAAAATCTTTAAAAATCTTCTCAAGAACCACTGGACCAGAAAAACTGAAACTTATGTGGAAGCATCCTGGGGTAGTGTAGATTCTAAATTGTTCAAATCATTGCGCCCGGGGGTAGGGCGGGCCACAATAGGTATTACAAGGGGGGAAGTCTTGTAATGAACAGCATGGCCAAAGTTACTCAGGTGAGCGATGTTGCCCATGGGCCTCTTGTTTCAATAATATCCAGGGGCAGAGAAGAAGATTTTCAAAGAAATAATGAACTTTCACTATATGATCTATATAGCCCCGCCCTTAGCACCAGAACCCCTGACCCTGGGGCCTTGAATTTCATAATTTTGGTAGAGTCACTCTTGCTTATCATAACTATGTATTCAATTTGTCTCAATAATACCCAGGAGCAGAGAAGAAGATTTTCAAAGAAATAATGCACTTTCACTATATGATCTATATAGCCCCGCCCTTAGCACCAGAACCCCTGACCCTGGGGCCATGAATTTCACAATTTTGGTAGAGTCACCCTTGCTTATCATAACTATGTATTCAATTTGTTTCAATAATACCCAGGAGCAGAGAAGAAGATTTTCAAAGAAATAATGCACTTTCACTATATGATCTATATAGCCCCGCCCTAGCACCAGAACCCCTGACCCTGGGGCCATGAATTTCACAATTTTGGTAGAGAGCTTAATGCTTATTACAATCATGTCAACAGTTTGACTGCTTGATGTCCAGGAGTAAAGAAGAAGATTTTTAAAGATTGCATTAATTTTGGTGGTTTTAGCCCCACCCCTCAGGCCCCAGGGGGGGCAGGGACCATGAAATTCATAATTTTTGTTCCCCTTCACCCACAGATGCTATATGCCAAAATTGGTTGAAATTGGTTGAGCGGTTTCAGAGAAGAAGCTGAAAATGTTCAAATGTTAACGCACGACGCACGATGGACGACGGACGACGCACGCCGACGGACAAAAACGGATAGCAATAGGTCACCTGAGTGACTCAGGTGACCTAAAAACTTAAACTTCCTAAGAAATGATAAACGTATAAATAAAGCGGGTAAAACAACATGAATATATTTCTTGGCCTAACAATCGGATAGATGGAAAAGAGAATCCTACCTTGCTTTGGAAGTGGAAAGGGAATACCAAAATAGTCTTCAAAGTAGGTAAGCACCTTGGTTCCAACAGAAAGCGCATACTCGGTCTGGTTTATAGCCTCAGGTCTGGACCAAGCCCTATACTAAATAAAAAATATAAGTGCTGAAAGGCCTGACAGGTAGGAGTTTTATGAATATGTTCAAAAGCGAACAAAAATAGATGGCATTAACAGTGCAAACAAATGCAAAAATGAAACTCGGGCAATCTGAAATATATTTCATAAAGCGGTCACTAGGTACTGTTCAGTATTTTGTGATACTTTTGAACATGTGTATTTTATTGTTTATATTTATATGTGTACAAGTAATCATTTAAAGTAGGATTAATAAGATTAAATATTGAATTATTGATATGTACGTCATTGTACGTTTCATTGATAGAAGAGCCACTGCTCAAGAAATCTGTAAGGGTAATATGCTTAGCAGTGTTTACTAGCTGATAAACAACAATGGTTTACTTAGAAATAAAGGATAAAATAGATGAGATGAAAGTGGGCATTAGGATTGTAGATTGCAATACGAAATGTTTCAAATAATGTTTAACTAGCTAACAAGGACTGCGTTAAGTTATGTTTTATTTGTTTATATTCTTGCTAGGGTAAAATATTAAAACATGAAACATAACAATGAACAGGTAACAAACAAGACTACGTACAGTTATATTGTTAGCTGTTTTATCCTCTTTGTAGTTAAAGTCACTGACGATAAACGCTAATAAATATGTGGATACAGGAGGCGTGGTTTTAAATCGATCTGCTATCCATCCGTTGCCCCTTTGAATAAATATGAAGTATAAGAGCATGATATTTACATTTTTTTTTATTAAGAATGTTGTTTTTTTTTTCTTCTAGTTTATAACAATTCAAAAATTTCAAAGGAAACGTACACATGTAGTTTAAAAAATGTGATGTGATAATATGTCAAAGATAAGTCACTTTGGATTATCCTGCAACAATGGTAAACATTATACACCTATTTACTGGTTATGAGGACAATAGCAAGTTTATCGTTCCCCAAGACAGCAACTATTTCCCGAAGCGCAGCCGAGGGAAATAGTTGCTTTCGAGGGGGACGATAAACTTGCTATAGTCCGAATAATCAGTAAATAGGTGTTTTATTATACCGAAGCAGTCTTTACTCGTCATAATCTACATGTAGATAAACCAGAAGAGTTCCGAGATGAAAAGTGAGGGAAACAGAATGCTGCCGGTGAATAGTTTAATGACTATTTCACCATGGGCAAATAGCACAAAAATTATTCCACGGTAGGGGCTGTTTGGAAAAAATAGCATGTTTTTTCGTCATATTTTTATATAGAAAAAAATTACAGAGGTATAATAACATTCTCTATCGAATGTTGTCTTCCGCTACTCTCACAACACCTCTGTCAACGCTCATTGTACAAGATTCTTGTACAAATTTTAAACGGCGAAAATTTGAAATTTAAATAGTAACTAATTATTGTAATTATCAATAAAGATGATAATTCATCGTATATTTTAAATCTCTAATCCCTCAAAACGATTTATTGTCAAAGTTTTTTTGGGAACTATTTTGCGGAGTAAAAATTAAAATCCTAATTAAAAATCCTTTTAAAATGTAATAAATTAAAATAAATAATGTTTTCCGATAAGAAAAATAATTAGAAACGATTATCAACACAATTTTTAATCATTTACAAATTTTCCAAGAATCTTGTATAACAAGGGTTGACAGAGGTGTATGTGGGAGCGTAGCGGGAACAACTCTGGATTGAGAATGGGTAAACATAAGAATTTTTTTTTTTGATGTCTGTTTCCTTCTGTTGTAAATTTCATAAGCGTCAACGTATCTGTAAATGTTTTTAGCTGACTTTTCTAAAACCCCTCCTCTTCCAAGGAAGAAAAAATAAGGAACAAAGTTAATTCTTTACCAAAAAAAAAAAAAAAAAAAAAAAAAGATTTATCTCTGTGTTTTGTTTCGATGATTAAAACTAAATTAAGAAGGGGAAATATAGGAAACCGATCTCTGCAGTTTTTTCTAGCTTACTATTAACACTAGATATAGTTTTACAAATATTTCGAAATAATTGTTTTTGAATAACTTCAAATTTATGAGTATATTGGATCCAACCTATAATTGAACTTTATTATAATAGAAGAACTTCGTATACTTCATATGTATGCCCTTCTTGTATGATATGGCTGTTAAAAGCTGAAATAGGATATGCTTTTGTCTATCAAGCCCTCCCTACCAATGAGTATTAAATATTTTTAAGAATCCTTGATAAAATAAAAAGTTAATTAATTTAGGACTTTTTCACAAATTTTGCTAAATGACAAATCACAATTATCAAATATACATATTTACATTTGCTGTCTTTTTCTACTAAGCCAACTGTGAAATTGATTGGAAAGTCATTTTTGTGTATCCTCAAGCGTAGAAATATACACGGTGAAACTCGTGCTAAAGTGACGTAACAATGAGGCTACAGAGACGTTAATAAAAAATTGACGATATAGGGCAGCGAGAAATTCAAACATTTTTGGTGCATTTACTCATGTAAAGTGTAAATAAAAGGAATGTTTTAAGTTTAGTGTAAATTTTTGGTGTGTAAATCACACAGACTTGCACGTAGGCATTTCTAAAGAAAAAAAAAGAAAAAAAAAAGGCCTACATACATGCTCAAAGACATGTGAACATTTTGCTTCTATTCTGTTTCTTAATATACTTTGAACGGGAGTATACGAGATTAATCCGAGTATAAAATTGCTTTACATGGTTTTATGATTATTCACAATTAAAATCTTGCTAATTCTTGTTTTATTACCAAATCATCGTTTTTTTAAAGATTTTGACGGAAAGTTTGAAAAAATCAGGTCATAATTTTTAAATGAAAATCACAGAAACCTAAAGTCCTTTTACTTCCATATATCATAAACTGAATGCATCCTGAAGCCTTTGATACAAAACAAGAAATGTCCATTCTAAAGGTTTAATATAAAAGTTTAAAAAATATTGCTAAAAACATGAAGGAAATAAGAGGGGATACAATGAGCAAATATGTTAAGAAATGACAGAAGAAAGTATAGAAGATTAAAATATGCAAAGGTTTTGCACAAAGATAATAGAAAAAACTTATGATGTATTTAATTTCATTGCATAAGCTTTGCAAGAGGCCCTTTGGCCCTGAGGGTCAACATGAGTTTTTTCAGGCTATTGGATGTTCCAGCTTGAACTGGATCTCTGCATTCTTTGAAAGAATCTTTTTTTTTTCATGTTCATGCAGCTTGTTGCTTAGAAGTTCAGGAGTAAATCAAAAAAGATAAATTACACTGTATAATATTACTACCTTAGCCTCACATCGGGGCCTTATCTTCGGAAGTGGGATACAGGATTTTTTTTAAATTTTTGTAGAGGGCTGGCTGTTCATTCTAATCATGCAAACAGTGTGCTTGCTAGATTTTGACGAGTTCTTCAGATTTTCAAAGATGTAATGATACATTAAATCTAAATGTATAACCAACGTAGTACCACTCTTGAGCCTGAACAATTTACAATTTTTGTTAAAGGTTACATATTCTTTATGATCATACAAACAATATGCCCGCAATAGGAGATTTTCAGCATTGTTATGTGTTTTCAAAATATGACTAACCTAGCTCCACTCTAAGGAATCCTATGCCTTTGAAACTTGAATTACAAGTACATATTTCTTTAGAGGGCTAAATGATTAATTTAATTTTCTTAATGCCCAAAAGAAATGAATATCTTCAAAGATGTCATGTATTTTCAATATACCATCGTTATAGTAATATCATTAGGCTTGACAAATGGATCAAGAGGCAACAAATGTTTACAATTTGATGAAATATATACATGCAAACAGTTTACCTGTTAGATGTCCCTAAGTAAAGAAGAACATTTTAAAGATATAATGCATATTCTATACAGGATCAACATAGCTGGAACCGGAACCCTAAGCCCAGGTGCCATGAATTTTACATTTCGATAAAATGCTCATTGTTATGATAATCTTGCAAATAGTTTGACTATATACTTGATGTTTAAGAGAAATAAAACATGAGATTTTTGAAGACTCCATCACTTATCATGTTTTTTTTCTTGAGTCCTCAGGCCTCAGAAAGAGAGAGATAACGAAAATCACAATAATTACTGGACATAGATGCTTCATATATAAAAAAAGATTTCAATTGGTTCAGTCATTCCAGAGAAGAAAGTGAAATGTTCAATAGATAACGCACGATGACGGACGTAAACAGATAGCAACAGGTCATCTGTGTGACTCAGGTGAACTGAAATGTGAATATCTTTAAAAAGCGATTTTTTTTATCGTTTTCATGAAGAATGCAAAATAAGAGTAAAGTTAGATTTCATTTAAAGTAGAAAATAATGAGGAGATTCTACTCTTTTATTCCTTTAAAAGCAGAGATTGAATTTGGGTTTTTTTACGAGGCCTGCTAAGATGAGTTTTAAGCAGATCAATATTAAGAGTATTTCTGAAATATAGGTGAAATAGGAGAACTACTCTAGCAAGTAAGAATCTTGTTTTTCTGTTTACCTCTCCTCTGACCGTAAAAGGATAGTATTAAATAATGACGTCATATTTTCTTTTCGCCAAAGTGTGACGTCAAATTTGGCCTTGATGGAAGGTTCATCAAAACATGGTAGAATGTTTCTTGCAAACGAAGGTGCTAGAAATGACGTAACAGAAAACCTGAAACAGAAATTGTTACAAACACATAAAGGACAATAAACACAATATTACTCACCTATTATCGGAGGTTATTTTTGGCATGTTAGACAATGATGTCAAATGACCTTTGCGTACTAAAGTGATATCAAATTTTGCTTTAATAGCTGGTTCATCGAAGCAGGGGAATGTTTTCCGGAGGTCTGTTGCTTGAAATTGTGTAGTAGCAGCGTATCTGCAAAAATACCATAAAATGGCGAGAAAATGAGAAAGAAATCTTCCAAAATTTGACGTGCAATACCTTGGAAGAACTCAACTAGTATTTTAAAAGAATCAGTGAACATCTTGTGCATGCCCAGAAGATCTCTAACAAGGGGGGAATACTGCTAGGACAAACATAAGAATCAAGATTTTAAAGAATTTTTAAAATTACAATAGTACTGAAAATACATATTTATATTCTTAAGTATTTAAGTACGGTACTGAACAGCATTATAATGACTATTTACATTAACAATGTTAGTTGTTTTTTTCTCTCTCTAATGTATTTGTTCCTTTCTTCAAAAATTTTATTTTGCAAAAAAAAAAAAAAAAAAAAAAATGTTTTGTACATCTGAATAAAGACAAACAAGGTTACATCTCCTGTTTCCTAGTTGTAAAAACGGTATTCAATGTTCAGATATGTTCAAATTGATTATTTAAAATGAATTGGATCTCATATTACGATTAGTTTTGTTTAATTTCTCTTTAGCTCCTGCTCTATAGACTTTTTGGGCTTCTCAGTCTGGCAATATGCCAAACACAGTTTTCACAAATGATGGCTAATGTGTTAAAATTTCAAACATCAATCTAATAAATAAAAAAAGACACTTTAGAAATTCAGCTTTAAAAGATTTGTTCAAGCTGAAAAAATAGAGCTCGAATTAATATGAAAATATAATTCAAAAAAAATAAAACTTACACTGTCTGGTTGTTTCTTCTGTACGAGCTTAAATATAATCCGTGAAGATCGTCCTTCAGAGGACCAATAAAAGAGAGGTCAAGGTCATAATATTGACCTGCCTGTAGAGAGGCTGTCGTGTACACAATCAAGAATTGACGTTTCGTATCTATCTCATGTCTTTTATAACGAAGAGGAAAAGAGGAGCCAACAGGAGTCACCCGAATTTCCTCCGTCAAGTTAAGTTTATTTATATGTAGTGTGATATTGTTGGTAGATTCGTGACATTTGACTCTGATTCGGACAGATCCGTTAAAGGTGAATAGTTCAGGTGGACCTTCGTACATGTTCGGCTGAAGTTCTACAGTATATAGTTCCGGAAGTACAGACATGGGAAGCCGGACATCCTGTAGCTTAGAGGGCGCTGGTGTCGTGACTGGAATGGCTGATGTGGATTTCGTACATGCTTCACCTTTTAAAGACAAAGTTCAAAACTTATGAAAATGATTTTTAAAAACTGAACTCATTTTAAATATATATATATATATATATATATATATATATATATATATATATATATATATATATATATATATATATATATATATATATATATATATATATTCTGCTCTACCGCTCTTGTAATTACCAGACAACGCTAAAAAAAATAATTTGATTTGCTTCCTATTTTCTATCTACTTAGGTCAGTCGCGGGACCTGAACCTGCTACCTTCCGATCACGGAGCGAATGCTCTACCGACTGAGCTACCGTGATGTTGGATATAGTATGTTACGATAAATGTTACATTCCTGCCCAAAATGAATATGACATTTGTTTTTTAATTAATTATTATTATAATTATTATTATACTCAGCTTTGTATCACTCAATTTTACTGTTGATTTCACGCAATCAATTGACAGAGTGATCCGTATCTCCACACTGAGTATAGATTTCTGAACTCATATTACCACTCTCTGATACCGATGACGTAGTAAACTGTATACATGACTTTTTCCCCTTGCTTTTAAAAAAAACAGTTCCTTGAAAATATGTTTTATAAAAAGATAAATTTTGATTATTGAGTGTAAATAGTTCTTTATTATATTTAACTGCCAATAGAGAGTGGAAGCACAATTAAAATAAATTGATGCAAGCACAAGTTTAATTGAGGAGAGAAATGATTGAATTAATTCAATTATTGCTCTCATTAATTCAGCTGAAAGAATGGATTATGCAATTCATTCTTCCCCTTTTTATCACTAAATTACGCTATAACGCTTAAAATACGAGTCAATTTTACGCTTTTAAAAATTGTGTTATTACACCCCCGATTGAACAGCACTGGTAAATGGGGTGTCCGTCCGTCCGTTAATCTTACTTTGGGTTACTATACCCGTATCCCCTATCTATTTTATGCCACTGAAAAAAAAAAATGTCTTTATTACATAGTGCTGTTGTGCAACTCAGATTTCACTCTTTGATCAGACAGATATTTAGGGTTTCTCCACAGCCAAACATGGACACTGCTATTCTCTTTATAAGATGTGGGGGTACCCATTTCTTATCTGCAACTCCTCCTATTTCACTGAGTAAAATCAATGCCACTGTCCCAGAATTTTTATTACATAGTTTCATTGTATAACTCCTATTTTACGTTTTGAGCGGGCAGATATTTGGGCTTTTCCATAGCAAGACATGCATTTTGCCATTATTCTAATATGGTACCGAGGGGGAATCATTTTGTGAGCTCAGTGTCCATAGAACCTCAGGTTTGGGTGATTTTTTTTTATTTATTTAACGACATACTGTTGTATGCTGTTGAACAATGACTCCGGGTTTTAATTTCAAGACTCTCAGTATCAATTTTCAACGCAGAAAAAAGCACCCTGATTCAATATTCAACTATTAAAAACGAAACCCGGGGTCAATTTTCATTTCGAGACAAAATTCTTAGTAACCCCGGATCACTTCTCGTTGACAGGCTCTATGGTGTCTCAATATGACCCTTTGAATAAGTCTAATATCTCGTAAGTAACAACGCCAAGCTTAAGGCGCGTTGCATGACCACAACACGTCATGTTTTGTGTCAGCTTGACGGCGAGCTTTGTAAAGTTATGTCAGTGCGACAGCGTTTTGTGTCAAGTTGCTTTAGCGCGATGGCGTGTTGTGAAGAATGCGTCATTGCTAACGAGCTATTAGACTTGTGCAAATGGCCCTATTGGAACATTATAAAAGGCGGATCATCATATGTAACTACACTGTAAATTCGAATCTCCTTTAAATCTTATTATCTGCACCTGTCAACTCAACGTGATCTAGTTCCAGGCCCCGGGATCATGAAAAGTCTTAAGGTTAAGTCAAATTTTTATTTTGTGATAAAATGTTGTAGAAGTCAAACAATCACAAAATTTAAAATATTGTTCTATATTACTTTACAAAAGTGTTGTCATCCGCAAAATTAAAGATTAATTCAACAATAATTAAACATTTTACAGGCGATTGAAATTTTGACTTAAGTCTTAGTCTGTTTCATGATCTTGGATCAAGGATCATGAAACAAACTAAGACTTAAGTCAAATTTTGAATCGCCTGTAAAACATTTATTAATGGATAATCTCTAAATTTGCGACATCAAGACTTTTTTAATGTAATACTGAAAAATATTTGAATTGTGGACTGTTTGACTAGTACATAATTTTAGCACAACCTAAAGATTTTGACTTATTAAGCTCAAGATGTTTCATGATCCCGGGGCATGGCTGTTTGGATTGAATTACTGTTACAATAATATACATGCAAAGTCCAAATAATAATGCAATCTGACGAGAAAATACTTCCATGAAAAAAGGTACAAATAGGAACAAAATAATCAGTTCTGAAATGCAATCTTATTTCCCCTGTATTTCATTACTTCTGACAAGTTTATGAGCTATTCCTAACATACTCAATATTCATTCATAAATTGACATGAAAGAATATATAGTGTTTGATTTTTTGAAATCTAGTCTTTGAAATTCCTCTTAATATTTCTTTAATATTTTCTTTTATTTCTATCATTTTTCCAGAAACCCTGTGATCCTTTTAGTATGTGTTTTACACGATAAGCCTGATATTAATAATACGTTTATCTTATATCTTTCGTAATTCTTAACATCTGGCAAACAGTTCATCGTAAATATCTCGTTCAATAAAAGATTGGAAAATAAGAATGGATGCGAATTTGATGCTTTTTTCTCGGCGGGAGCCGCTATTCCTGCAATATCTTGCATTATTATTTGACGTGCAGGATCGTGTAAAAGAGGTTACATCAGAAGCCGCCCCGGAGCCCTATGGCGCTCTCCATTCACTAAAGTTACCCATTCCCTGAGGACAGTGATGTATTTATGAGGTTTTCGATACTTTATCTCGAGATGTTATCTGACGTAAAATATTAAATGACCTCTTTTCACATTGAAAAATGCAAACGCATGGTGGGTTATTGCAGTCATAGCAGAGAACAGGTCGATAGAAAATATTTCTTGCATGAATATAAAATCTACTAATAAAATATATTGGAGAAGAAGACCAATGAATATTCATTTATTGATAATAGATATTCTATCATTTTATCGCATTTTTAATTTTCAGAAGACGACTGCGATAAATGTATAGTTATTGTTTAACTTGCAGGTTTATGTACGATACATGACGATCACGTAAACTACTGTCCAATTATATATGTACAACATGTACAATGTATATCATTGATAGATTTTGTACATTTATCATGAGTTGATATCTCAGTGTATATTATTGTCTTTCCACAAATTTTATTTAAAAAAAACTTTGTTGTTATGACTTGTAGGGCCATTATTGGGGATCCTGCATAGCTTTTTGTTCCTTTTGGTGGCCATACTAGTCCTTCACAACAAAGTTTATTTTTAAATAAAATTTGTGGAAAGACAGATACATTAAAGGAAAAATGATTGTTTGAATTATTGTCTATTATTACAGTTCATGATCTAATTAAAATATTATTTTCTTTCATTAGTCATAACAACAAAGTTTATTTTTAAATAAAATTTGTGGAAAGACAGATACATTAAAGGAAAAATGATTGTTTGAATTATTGTCTATTATTACAGTTCATGATCTAATTAAAATATTATTTTCTTTCATAAACTTAAAATAATGTTTTTATTATAATTTGGACTTCATATCGGTAATACTTAAGAGGTCTCTGTTATCCATTCAAATGTCAATGTTTACTTGTAAAAGAATGTATTTTGTTGTTTATTGAGGAAGTAGCAGTTTTTTTTTATTGAATCTATGTATGTATCACAAGTTTGTAAGTGTATATCATGATATTGTACTATGTATGTAACTGATAAATATATTATATTGTACAGTAATGCCTATGGGATGTACGTCCCACGGAATAAAGAACTGAACTGAATCTTGTTTAGAGTAAATCATGTAATCCTCTGCAGGAACTGCCCATTGTATTATGTGTAAATAATTTATTCATGACTGTCTTTGATGCTCTTCGTGTTTATAGATAAGGTTTAATCAATTACGTAACAAAGATTGATCTCTTTTATATTTTTACTTTTTGGTTATAAATCTGTCAAGGCCTTAGGCCATGCACAGGTGCTTTGAGCTTGGTCAGCCTCAAGTGTCATCTTTTTAGGTCACGTGATTGCGGTTACCGTGTTCAAATCCAAAAATGGTATATTTTCCCACTTTCATTTCTTCCGTAAAATTAATTCTCAAATCTGATTGGTTAATGACCTGTAATCCAAAGGCAAGCCGGTGTCGCTGGAAATTTGGCCTACCCTGGTCACTTCCATGCGACGCCTTGTTGAATAAAGTTGTAAATTTTTATAATCTTATTTTTCCTTTGGAATTACAGGTATGTTCCATTTTTGTTATATTTTTAAATGTTAAGATAAATCATTTAAGTCTCATTTTGAAATAATTTTATTAATTGAATTTAATTATTATATTTTCTAAATTTGAGCTTTATTTCAAGTCTTACAATATCCTTTATTAATCCTTTTAGAATGTTATGAGTTCAGATTAATAACTGATTATAATGCAGAGTTTATTTTAACATTATTTTGTTAACAACCTTTGATGTGTGTAAATTTATTAACGTTTAATTGTCGAAATGCAGTAAGTTCGAGTTTCCTCGATTGTTAAAATTATTTTAAATTAATGAATTTCAGAGGGTATTTTTGTTACATATATTGTTCACCCCTCTGTACAGTCACCAGGGTTTAGCTTAGGGAAATATCTTTATAAAATTTAATTATTTTCTTATTTTATTTGTAACTGGTGACTGTTGTTTGTAATTATCACTTCCATGCGACGCCTTGTTGAATAAAGTTGTAAATATTTATAATCTTATTTTTCCTTTGGAATTACAGCCACGACAGATAGATCTCGAATCTACGTCAGTAGAGCTGACACCAAGGAGTTCAACCACAGGCAAGCGAGTTTTCCCCCAAAATAAAGGAAATATTCCCCAAATATAGAACACGTTCAAAAAGACACAAAATTCAGACGTGTCATTATGTATGGAAGTTTACTCGATGATAATCATATTACATGTGCTAACATGTCAAATAAAAAAAATGTATTTTTGTATATTGGAAATCTGAAAGAATCATCATTTGTAATCTCTGATATCAAACCATCATTTGTTTCGCATGTGACTACATGTACAGTGTATTAATATATTGAGAATTTCAGATGAATCTACAAGTTTAAATATCTTTGTATCTCTACAGATAAAATGATGTATTAAATCTCATTAAGTATTTATCCTGCTCAAGGACAGAAGTACATAGGTATATTGGAATACTTTTCTTTTCTGCTTGCATGACAGTAGCGCTGCAAAAGGAGATTGGTGTTAAGGAGTCCTGACCCCACCCCTCCCCTTCCGACATTTTCAGAGTAGTTAAATTACTAAAAGCAATAACCGTGTACTCCCTTAAGAAATATGCCTACTCCTCGTAAGTTTGTAAGAAGTGTTATATGCATGCATAGACGCATGCACAGTTATATGCAAAGCGGCGCCTTGTCTTTAAGAAGAGTGCAATCCCCGTCCCCGGAGAAGAATACAAAACACCGCCCTCTGAGAAGAGTGCAATAACCCGCCCCCTGAAAAGAGTGCAATACCCCCCCCCTCCCCCGAAAGACATAGATTTTAGATTTATCGTGTTTGGATATGTTGTATTTATGGTTGGCAAAAAGTTCTTCGGCATTTTTGGAGTAGTATGGACTCCCTTAAGAAATATTACAGGCTTTGAACTTCCATCAACTTATCAAACTGTATTCCTTGTCCAAAAAGTTATCTTATATTTAAGAAATAAGGTATCACTTTAAAAGTTTTATCGGGATGTAAATACGGGTTGGTCATGTGATCAAATCCCATAAAGCCCGAAGGGCTTTATGGTAGATTTGATCACATGCCAACCCGTATTTACATCCCGATAAAACTTTTAAAATGATACCTTATTACTTATATTTACATTTGTGACTGATTTATAACAGATAGTAAGGTACTAAAGTTTTAAACCCATAAATGATTTATTTTTTTTCAAAACTTAACGGTATAACTTGAATGTGTTGAACACGTCGATCACTTATGACGTCACTATGAAATTACGTACATCGTTTATGACTAAACAATCAATTTATGGTCACATGACGAACGTGTTTTACATAGGTGTAAAAACGCCTTGTTCAAATAGTGTTATATAAGGGAAATCATTTGCAAATGTAAATATTTGCATTTGATATATCTTATCAGGTTGTCTTATAACCTTAATATGTTTTGTTTAAGTTCATGGTCAATTTATTAAACTGAAGATTTTTTCGGCCAGGTTCTTCATTTTCACACATAACTTAATGTCTCAAAATTGTTTTTTTTTCATTTTTTTTTTTTTTTTCAAATAAAGTGCGGTTTGGCCTTAAAGGAAGATATAATCTGAAAGGTGAAGGCCAATTGATAAGCCAAACAGTGGCTTGGCAAAAAATCGAATATGGATTTATATAGGATATCGATATTCTTCAAGTTTTTGAATATATGTCATAGATACTACTTGAGTTTTACACATTTTACTGGTTTTTGACTTTTTTTAAAGTCCATAAATAATTTTTGCAAGGAGGCGTTTGCAATTTCTGATATGCATTTGCTGGCAAGTTTAATAAATTTCTCAAAGCATATCTGATGCTCTGCACAATTTCAGAGATATTAATCTGAACTCTGAAATAAAATATACAATTTTTATATATGACAGAGGTATTCATCTTTATTTAAAAAAAAAAAAAAAAAGTAAACAAATCTTGATTTCAGATTAAATTTCTTGGCACTTTTGTGTTCTCTTTACAGAAGGAAAAAAATGCAGAGAGAATATATATCAAAATTTCTTAAACTTATTTCACCTTGCAAAAAGTGTATATTCATTTGCCTCCAAATCACAAACGATACAAGAGATCAATTAAAATTATAGTTGACATCGTAGCTTCCTCTTTTGATGTTCGCCATTAATAACAGCATAAAAATGTAGACGATATCTATTTTTTCTTAAAATAATAAGTTAGAACTTTTAGCCTGACATTTAGATATTTCATGTTAATGTCGATTCCATTTTTTTTTTAAAAACCATAATATCAATATCTTTAAAAAATGCCAGTCATAAACGTTTTGCAGTCGTTGAGAAGGTTTCTTATCGCAGTGTTATCTTGCAAAACATTTCTAACAAATATCACCGGGAGTTTTTACGGTTAACAGGCTTCAGTATTTTATACAGACACGCTTTAGTTTGTCATAGAATAGAGTGAAATCTGAAAAAAAAAAAAAAAAAAAAAAAAAAAAAAAAGCAAGAAGCAAATAAACAAAAAAAGAAAAAAAAATTAGAAATAATTATAAATAAAATAAAAGCAAGATACAATGGTCTACCGTGTTGGATGGCATTTCAGCCTTTTAAAATGACTCAAAGATTTTTTTTTCTTTCTCAAATAAAATTTTAATCCTTCTTTCCGCATGTAATCTGTTATATTACATGTTAGTGAAGCCTTCTCATCAATTTGGTCAAATACACTGTACATGTATACCTCTCTCTTACATTTCCCACCTCGAATCAGACGTAATACGATGGTACTAATTAGATAAATACAAATTCATGACATAATGTAAATATAATACGGAGAGTGCCCTAGGAGTATTGTTTTCTCAGACTAATAGACGGGATATTTTTTAGCATGTATACAAGCATCCATTTAGCTATCCTTGATCAAAAACTCTCACTTTTCTACGGTCATCAGATTTCGCGCACAATACAGCACGTGCAAATGTATGCGCGTGCTGAAGTGTTCTGATTGTTTTATCTGATAAAGCTAATTACATGACGTATCTATAAATCTAGGATTATGTCTGTAATGGATTTCTCTGCTGCTATACTTTCGGGAGTCGGGTGAAAAGTTCCGATTTAACGTAAAAAACAAATCAACAAAAAATTGTCGCGACAAGAATAAAGAATTGAATGATGCTAGTTATTGAAATAAAACAATGTATAATATCTCTGTTTGAGAATGCAAGCATTTTGAAAAAAAAAATTGCTGACAATGTAGAGATTTATAACATATTTATCCCCAAAAATCGTGTACGTCCATTAAAATTGTCACACTAAGAAGTCTAGCATTGAATGGATGCATACTGTACAGAGGGTCACGGGGGTGGGGAGTGGGGGTAAATACTTTCAATGAATTCAAAAGAGGGTGTCTTCATAAAAACATTAAACGTACTCAATCCATTTAACTAAATGCACTCAAAGTGTGGAATTGGTAACTTCTGCAATCAATCTGAATTTTTTTCTCTTCAAATGGTTATTTTTGAGTAAAGATTCATCAAAAATATATATTATTTTTTTAGCAGGAAATGGTAGTTCTCCTCCTCAGTAGCTATAGTTTTAAAGAAAAAAAACCATATCTCTCTCTCTCTCTCTCTCTCTCTCTCTCTCTCTCTCTCTCTCTCATCAAATGGATCGATAGAGAGAAAGGAGGGAGAGAGTCATTCAGAGCAAGTGTTCAAATTCTCTTCTGATCATATATCAACCGCAGTATTGTTGGACTACCTTTGTTTGATTTTATATATATTGCTACTTAGACGCTGACAGAATAAATAAAATGACATTCATTGATATACCAACTATAGCGCATTCTAACATTGTTAATGCATTAAACTTGCTCTGAAATTTATCCCTGTAAAAAAAAAATTATTAAGCATATTACGTGCAGATAAGTGATGTAGTCATGTACATAAAAGGACGACGTAATTGCATTTAAAAAAAAAGTTCAATAATTCAAAATGTTTTCTTTCTTTCATCTTTTTAACATTTTTTTTAATAATCCAAGCTCCTCTCCACTAGAGAATCCTAGATCCGCCTTTGTGGTTGAGCGACTTCAGACAGTCTGTTACTTATGTAAGACACAAGATTTATATCTTTCTACTGTATATTTCGTATGCATAATCATGGACTTGACATTACGACAACTACGATACGAGTAGTTTACAATTCAAATAACGCAATTATTTATTCTGGCTTTTCAAAAAATAAAGACAGTGAATGAAATACAATTGTACAGGTGTAATTCTCCTACAATTCAAAATACATGTACAAAACCACATGTATGAATATTAAAAAAAAATATGTTTAAATTTAAATAAAGTTTCTTTATAAATGAATCGAATTTTGATTAAAATTTCATTTTGAAGACTTAAATAAACTTTTAATCTATCCAAATTTATCATTGCTCAAATCAATCGACCCTGACAATTGCTCTTCAAGGCAATTGACAAAATATTCTTCAACAGGAATTAAATTCCAAAAACTCAGATGCAGATCGCATTGAAGCCGATAAATTTTACAGGAAAAAAAGGTTTCAAAAAGAGGTTCACATCGCAGCGAAACGACACGTGAAGAAGAAAGAGAGTGGTGAAATTAATTAGCTGTGACATATTTATTACACCCAGTAATTAGAAATGAAGCAGTTTTCACAGTTCTGGATTACGCAAAGAATTCCACAGAGAGAGAGAGAGAGAACCATAATGAAGGTACAATAATGAATTTCTTTTTGATTAAGGATTTGTAAGCACCTGTTTGCGCTCTCTCAAGGTGAAATAAATTAATTCACAGCATTAACGATGTGCATCAATTAAAATTAATATTCCTAGAGGATGTACCGTAAGTAAGCTCGTGTATTATAACATTTGTTGTTATTTTTAACAGGAAAAAAATTATACAACGTTATTAAGAGATATTCAATTTAGAGTATAATAACTGGAGAGAGAGAGAGAGAGAGAGAGGAAAAAATGCTTTTGTCTACTTACATAAAGTGGTATCCCCTTTATCAATAAAATCCTTGCATTTATCAATTAATTCTGCCGCAGTTCCCTCGGAAATACCGGACTTATCGCTACAGTTCTGGTCAGTTCTGGCGAAATAGATCAAGAGTCCCACCCCTAACACCAAGCATACCACCAGAAAAAGAATTAAAATCCCCACATATACAGAAATAAAACACCCCTTTCTGCTGCTACCCGGAGTCAGCTGTGCCTCGCTATTATACTTAGCCATGTCTGTGAAATCAAAGGATTCAGCTTTGCCCATAGCGAAAGTTATCCGATCACGCAGATTTCATCCCATCCGAACCGCGTTCACTGTAGGGGCTAAAAGGGTTTCGCTCTTGGTATCAAAATGGACCTGACACCGATTTTAAAGAGGTCGTGAGACTTTGATTGCGACTTTATCACAGGTTTATTATTCCGCTGGGAATGTCTTTTAAATGATAAAATTTATGTGCAATCCTGCGGGGCAATATCTTAAAATGTTTTAGAATATTTGGAAATTCCTGAAGAAACGTTATACATATAGTTCATTGTTTACGCAATGTAAATAATAATCACTAAATGTTTAGAATGTGTAATAATTAAGCGCACCTAGCGCGGTTTCATATGTTAATTAGGAGTCGCCTTCTAATGATTGAAATGTTGTTTAAAACTTTGCGTTTATGAAAAGTCTGAATAATGTACTTTACGTAAATTGTTCAAACAAAGGAGATAGCAAAAACAATGTTAATGGCACAAGGTGGAATGCAAATTTGAAAACCAATCATGGAGCTTTTTTTTTTTTTTTTTTTTTTTTTTTTTTTTTTTTTGAGAAGGTTCCAATATCAAGAAAATACGATAGAATTTATATGTTACACCGTGTCTTCAGTTTAGAGGCCAGGAACTTTTATACGTTCAGGTGCAGGTGTTTCCATAACGCGTCTGAACATTCATTGAAATGAAAGCGTGTACATGTATACTCGCGTGTTCATTTTTTTTTTTTTTTTTTTTTTAATGTTATTCACGGAAGACTTCTGATGAGCAGAATCAATATACAGAAGAAAACTCAAAGGACTGATAACATCTGCTCCCCCCCACCTCCCTTCCCCCGATAAAAAACAAAATGATAGCACGAATGTTTGCCGGAAAATTAAATATATAATACAATCAATTTCTCGAAACAACTTGTACACATTTATTACTTAAAATATAATGTATATTAGAGCAATTATGTTTTATTTTATAAAATAAATCATTTGAGAATTAGTTTGATTTTTTTTTTTTTAACAGTAATACATGTAGTAAAATTGCATAGCTAGCGTTTTGAGGAAATAAACTTATTTTGTGATGTATTAATGCACACATTCCGACTCTCCTTCAAATAATTATGCAGTATTCTCTTTGCCACAAAACAGTCTGCTACTGGATTTGTCATGATCATTTTTTTTAAAGTTTAGGATGTCCAGAAGACATTAACCAGAGATTAATGAAAATAAGCGAATTTTACTGCCAGGATATTGATATACCAGTATTTCATATTTTTTGCATGCACGATTCATGCGTCGTTTCTTTTCTTATTTCCGTATTGAAGGATAATAAAAAAAAAAAATATTACTCGAGATAGAAATATATCTCATACTTATTACTGCAATCAAACTTTAAAAAAAAAGGTTGTTGAAAAAATCTTGCAAGGATTTTTCTCAGAGACAGTTAAACAAATATTTAATTATTTCCGGAGGAGCAGCTGCTTAAAATGGATGTACGCCACTTTTGCCATTGCTGGAGTGTCAAAACGTGAATACAAAGTACTAGTCATATTTATAGATGCGTTTGAGGTTCGATTTTGTCCATTTACTTTTTAAAAAATAGTAATTAAACTCTCCATCTGCAAATTGTACTGGCACTATACTTTTAAATATCTGAATTACAGGAAAATTAGGAACTTTGGAGAGAATGTTTTAAGACAGTAATACCCGCATATTAGAGTATTTACTTCAGTACTCTCCTTATTTCTGGTCCACTATAGCGAAGAAACAACATTACTTATTTTATTATATTAATATAAAATTCAGCATAAAATACACAGGTAAGCGTGTGGTCCACGGACCTTTCATAGTAGTATTTGGTATGATTAATATATCCCCAGTCTAAAATTAAAGAATTAAATGAAACATTTATGCATTCTGTTTCGTTTGGAAAGAAGACTTCTAAAAAAAAATGTCTTAAGTTTTCTACCCCTATTGCAGACTCCCTGGATGAAAATTTCAGATCCTTTCTACATCTAATTAAAGGACATCACCGATAATAGTTTAAAAGGTGGTGTTTTTTTTGTTTTTTTGTTTTTTTGTTTTTTTTTTTTTTGTTTTTTGTTTTTTTTTTTGAAAATTTAAATGAAAATTTAAATTCTGAAGCTTTATTGCACATCTACACGTTACCAACAATTGCAAAAAAAAAAAAAAAAAAAAAAAAAAAAAAAATATGTAAGAGAAAATCTAGAAACCAGATTTCCTAGAAAACGTCATTTTTCTACGTGCAATTGACCTTCAACCTGTAAATGAATACACATGCATTCCAAAACCTTACTGCATATCTACAGATATTACAAACGATGAATTGACTACTGCTTAATATGCAAGAGAAATTTGTGACTTGACTTTCAAATTTGACCTAATTTTCAAAATTTTAACATCGGTGATAACTTTTGAATGAGAGGGTTCTCATATCTGACAAGTGCAATATCTGTCTAAAAAAGTTTCTGAATATGATATTTGACTCAGTGACCTTGAAGTTTGACCTTATTTTCAGAAAGTTTAACATTGGTGATAACTTTTGAATGAGAGATGATAGGGTGTTCATTTTTGATAAGTACATTACCTGTGTCAAATTTTTCCAAGATATTTGCTTGGCCTTGAAGTTATACCTAATTCGAATCATTTTAAAATTGCTGCTAACTTTTGACGGAACAAAGATAGGGCATACATATTTGACATGTGCATTACAAGGGTTTCCAAATGTACTGTGATTTTTAGCCTCCACCCTTGACCTTGAAGTTTGACTTTATTTTAAGATAAATCGTTTCTGATAAATTCTGATTGAGAAAAGATAGGGCATTGACATTTGACATGTGCATTACCTCTGGTTTTTTGACCTAAAGGTGACCTTGACCTTAAGGTTTAACCTATAGTCTTTTTCAAATTAATTTTGCATTGTTAATAATTTTTGGAATGAGAGAGGATAGGGTATTAAGATGTGCAATACCTTTGACAACACCTTTCAGAAAGATATCATTTTTGACTTCATGACGACCTAGAATTTGGACCTACTTATCAAAAATTTTAACTTTGGCAATAACTATTGTTCCAGAAGAGATAAGGTTTTCATATTTTTTTCACCTGTGCATTACTTCTGACAGGATCTTTCGGATTGTATAATGGTATTTGACCTCATGACCTTGATCTTGTAGTTTGATGCAGTTCTGAGAACTATTAATCTTTGCAATAGTTGTTATCAATTCAATAACTAATACCTTTTTGTATGATGCACAGACAGGACAGGAAACAAAAACAAGCGAGTTTCAATATGCCATAAATAATTGCATCCTAATAAGATACCGAAAGCGGGGGGAACAATTTTTTGAATATGTGTGTTTCTAATTACTTCAAGGTAATAGTAAATCAAAAAGCCCATTACTGGCAAAAGATCCTTGCATATGAGTTTAGGAAATATATAGATCAATACATGTCTCGATTATAAATGAAATTCATCTTACAACCTGCATGTATATAAGTATGAAGCGGGCCTGCAATGAAGAATAAAAACGTTTATGTTTAAGATATTGTGGACTGGGCGGAGAGAATGCGAAGCGAAGAATGATTTGAAAGGGAGCAGCATAGACAATTGTATGACAACATGACAGAGGAATCGAAATTCAAATTAAAGTAGAATACCTTTCTATTTAAAATAGAAAAGTATTCGTTTGATTTTGAATGTCTGGTATTTCCTGAATCATATCTCAAAGGCTAAGGTAATTCATCCGCTGAGATGATTTTTTCCCTTATTACTATAATGTCTTAAAAGAATTGATTTTCTCGAATTTTTTTTTTCAAGATCAAATCAAGATCTCTATATTTTTTCAGTGAATTTTAAAAAAGGGCTATGGGAATTTGGTGTACGTGAAAGGCATTTTCATTCCTCATGCTTGTACATGTACATTAAAGAAAGTAAACCCCTTTCTTTTAATAGTCTGCATTGAGTTTTGTTTCATTTACTGGAAGCATGAAAAAAAAAAAAGAATGGAGACTGATACCAAGGTTTAGGCGTGAGCTTTTAAAAATCAGTTATAGCTTATCTTAACATATAATTTTTATTAACTTCATAAATATATGTTACTATCAAGGTAAATAAACTTGAAATACATTAATTCCGTAAAATCTGCAATGTACATGTACAAACATTACACATTACAACTAACAACAAAATTAACACTTTGATAAATGAATAATTTATTGTTTTATTTATTTCACTACATATCAAGGAACATATACCAAATGTATAAAAGTAAAAACTTCTAGGATTTACTACAATATGAATATTTTTCTACAATAAATAAGAGACGATATTTCAAATTTAAGAGCACATTTTTTTTTTCTCGTCCTAGAGTTATCGTTCGATCTTCTTCCAACAAAAATTGTCGTTCGTTCTATAGTCAAACAATATCTGTAATTCCAACAAAGTCTAGGATTTTTAATTTTTTTTGTTTTATTTTATTTTACATTATTTCATTTTAATTTATTTTATTTATTTAGTATCAAGGCAAGTTAACATTATTTGATTTCTGTTCATTAGTCTCATAGGATAAACACAAAATGTGTTGAATTTTTCTGAAGCAATTTTTCCTTCATGCATTGAAAATAATGTAAATTTTTTGTTTGTTTTTTTTTTTTCATTGCCTTGAAAGGAACGATAACTCAAAAACACTGTAATTAATTTCTCAAGAAAGTAACCCAGAGGAGGTTACCGCTCTTTGTTGAGAAATCTGATACAGGTCACTGTTCATTTCAAATGAAGTCTGGAATGCCAAACAGATAATTTCCCCTCGCAGCTCTTTCATTTGAAACAAAATATTCTATCCACAGCATTTCAAACACTTCTCTTGTGATATTCTTGCCCTGGAAAGAAATATATATCTGATAATCAACATCAAAAAAAAAAAAAAAAAAAGAAAAGAAAAAAAAGGAATATTTAAACGCATTTAGTAATTATGTCCTAACAATTCTAGTGAATTTATGAGAGAGAAAAAAAGCAAAACTGTAAGGTGATACATCCTCCGAGTCACTTTAATAAGATTTTAATGAATTTTAACAATTTCTTTTTAATTTGAAACTTCCGTTTAATTTCGATTGAGTACTTACTGGGGTTTGTAAATCTAGTCACTTAGATGCTTCAAAATATTATCTTTTTTTGCTTAAATTACTTAATCATACGTCACAGATTAGAACCAATATCGCGAAATTGAAGCATGCACTAAGCAGAAAACGAATTTCAAAAATATTCATCTTTCTACGTTAAGTCGCCCGCGTGGCGCAGTGGTTAGAGCGTCTGCTTTAGAGTCGCGGAGTAAGGAGTTGATCCTTACGTCGCGGGTTCGAATCCCACTGTGGGACGTGGAGACCGGTCCTTCGGATGAGACCGTATAAACCGAGGTCCCGTGTCGCAGTAGGTGCTGGCACGAAAAAGATCCCTCACTGCTCAATGGCCGTAAGTGCCGAGTATAGGACAAAATTTGCAGCTCTCCACCGGCAAGTTGTGGCGTCTCCATATGAGTGAAAAAATCTCGAGAGGGACGTTAAACAACATACAAACAATCTTTCTACTTTAATACAAAAGAATGATTTCAAGAAATGCAGGTACTTACCTGGGTATATACAACAAGATAATTATATGTAGAAATATGTTATGTAGCACATGGGGGAAAGATTCTAAGTAAGATATTTCAAAGCAAGGGAAGTGTGTGTGGTGGTGGGGGGGGGGGGGCAAATAATGAATTAAGTATAAACTTCGAAATTTTATCAAACATAAGGTTAGACCCCCCCACCCCCCCCACCCTCGGTTCAGCTCAGGCAATATTAAATAGAGAACTTACATCAGATATCTTGTGGAATGCTTCACGACATTCCTCTATGGGGATTCCGTATGATTGATTCCATACCGTCGTATACTCATCAATGTCAATTTCATTATCACCTGAAATAAAGATCATATTTATTTTTTTTCAAACATTAGCATTTAATTAGGGGTTAGCATCAGGCATTGATGTTTTATATACTAAAATAATGTTTTATTTTATGAGAAATTTTCCTCGTGTGAAAAGAACTTATATCTGATCATCATAGGTAAAATGATAAAGAAAAAATGTATACTTCAAAAGAAAGAATTTTTTTATGTTACGTGCTTCATTTATTTATTTATTGTAACAAATTTACAGAAATATAGTTTTTCTTCCCTTCGAAATATATGCACAAAGTACTGATACCCATGATTTAGCAATTAATATACCGGTACCTGATTTATCATTCACTTCAAACATGAACTGCATGAACCTCTGCTGCCATTCCGGGAAAGGTTTTCCGTTTTTGACCGATTGTAAACAATCACTCCACATCTGAACCCATTCATCTTTGGAGACCTTATCATCCTAAAAAATAGGACGAATAGCATAGGCGTTGGAAGCAAATTGATAGTGTGTGGGGGGATGGGGGTGGGGGGGGGGAGCAGGCTAAACCAAAAAAAAGTTTGAGGACTAAGCCCCAATTTTCAATGCCTATATAATGTCTATCTTTGCAAAAGTGGGGGGGGGGGCTAAGCCCCCTTACCCCCCCCCCCCCAGGTTCTGGCACCTATGAATAAGGAGCATTGATAATTATGGCGCATAAAAAGTGCGCGTAGTTAGAGAGTTACATGTATTTCTCCGTAATTTTTAGCTATGTCATCTCAAAATATTACCAACAGTGTTTTCCGTCGTATTTAAAATTCTTTTACTACTTCTACACCAAAACATTCCCCAAAATCATTGTTAATAAATCTCCTGAGCCTTAAATTGAGACTGTCTAGCTTCGTTTCATTATACTGCCATTTTGGGTGACAAGACAATATGATGTACATGTAAGTGACACAATTTTTAAATAGGTGGATCTGTGGCCCTCTGGTCTACCATCCCATTTTTTTTTTCAGACCAATGAGCTACATGTACAAATCTGCAGCAGCTATACTTTTACATGTAGCTATTCATCTGTCATGTTTTAGTTTTTAATTGGCCTGTTGGAAATTATATATATACTCTGAAATTAAATATTATCACTTTACCACATGCATGACTTTTAAGTCATCTATGTTGTAACATTGTAAATTTTGAATATATCGGGTTGCAGTAATGTTCAACAACTGGGGCTGTATCCTTCACTTATTGATTTAAATTCATACATACATGTATATATGTAATATCTGTGCAGATTTGGTTAGAGTATTGTCTACCCCTCTCTTCTCTCTTTTCAAGGAGGATGAAAAGGGGGGGGGGGCTTTTATGACCTTGAATGTTAGGAAATGGTGTTCTATATCGGCTGTTTATGTTCAATTATTCAACGTTGACAAGTACATGTGTACTCATTTACCTGATTTTCGTCTGCGTATTTTTTCAGGTCGTCCCATATGAGAAGTAATGTTTCTTTTCCTTTATTGTATTGATCCCCATCCTTAGGCCATCCCAGACTGTTACAAAATTTCTGAAAAGAATTCACAGCGTTATATACATGTTATAACAACACTGTTACAGTGTAATATGGCCCTTGATATGAAACAAAATTCTGTGGTCAGATTCGGAGTGCTATTCAAATCTCCTATAATCATCATACAAGATCGTAGTATTTTTTTCTTTTAGTTCATCTTTTTCAGTATTGTGTAACATGTTATTAATAAAAAACTCCGCCGAAAATTGAATGGTAAATACCGAATAGGTTAGAAACATATATATCAATTAAAATATAAAAAGCATGGCTAAACGTGACAAGTCTTAAAAGTTTACAACAATAATTACATTTGCTCAGGTGGGCAGAAGGACATTTTGAGAATTCACAGAAATCTGAACCGGATCATGTGGATATCAATTAATCTGAATATATTAGATGTTTACATGATAGATCAACTAGTACTTTCATGCACTCAAGCGTCTGTTTTTAATGAAAGAAGAATAAATTTTGGATTGTTTATGCAAAGATTCTAATTATACTATAAACTATAGGATTTGTTTTTTTGCTTTCTGGTCTGTGTATGTATTGTATTGAGACTTATTCACTGGAATATTTGGAAAACTTATTTTTTTCTCAACATTCACTTTCTCCAAACTTCACTGCTTAATTAAAAATAAGCCCCGTTTGTTACAGCTTTTTATTATTGATTTTTTCCGCTTCCCTGAATTAATGAGCAATAAACATGAAGTTTAATTCCAAGCCATCAACATTGCAGTAGCTATAAACTATTTTTTATTAAAAACATAACAATGAAGAAAACGTTTACAAGTTTCTTTGTTGTAATGGAGGATACACAGTTACTTTTGTTTGCTACGAAATCATTAGGTTCAGAAAATGGATATTGATTTTTTTTATATAGAATTTCCCAGTCTGATCTCAAAATGTTGTTTGGAAGAGAATGCTTTCAATTCAAGTAAGTATTCAAAAAAAAAAAAAAAAAAAAAAAAAAAAAAAAAAAACAGAAAGAAAGAAATTTTTTTTTGTGAAGATACACATTACTTTAGGTGAGACTAGGCCATATATGCGAATAGACCAGTATTAAAATATTGAATTCATTTTAATTTTAACGAAGATCCATATATTCTATAAAAAGGAGTCAGGTCCGTAGCAACGACAGATTGGGGTAGGTTTAGGAGAGGCAACCTCTGATCTGATTAGGAAAAAAAAATCAGAAAGGGGGAGGGCGACCAGCATCTACACTGTAAATGAAAATTTACTATAGCAAAATACCATGCTTAGAAAAAAGTGGTGGAGCCCCGCCCCTCCCCTCCCCACTCCCCGCGTTCTACGGGCCTGGGAGTTAAGAATAAGTTTAAGGGCTTTATCCCCTCTCTCCAGCAATTAAACTGTATCAATCATGCTATAGGGTGGTAAGTGTATGATATTATGAGTGCATACGCATGTCAAATATTAATCTACGGTTTCATAAAACATCTTATTTGATTAAAATAGAGGTTTAGATTCGCTTTGAGATAAGCTACGGTATTGACCCAAATAGGATGCCGAGTTTCTAAATCTGACATCATGTATAACGACACTATAGTTTATTTCGGATTTCAGATCTTTATACATGTTTATATTATGACATTGAATCTGTTAATCATCGACAATAACCTACATTACAACGCGCTAATTCAACATCAACATACTTGCAGTATGTTAACTTTGAATCCGCGCTGAATAAAGCGCCTGCAACCGCAGCCTCGGTCATCAAAAACATCTCAAGGTATTGGTCAGTTTACCCTTTGGTTGGTTTAGGTTTTTTTTTGGGGGGGGGGGGGGGGAGGGGGAGGTTGTCAGATTTTTTTTTAGAGACGTTGGTCCCCCTTCCCCACTTTTGAAACCGTTGCTACGGGCCTGTAAGAGGAAGGCCGGCTAAATTTCACTGAGTTTAATCGGTGCAAAGACAATTTTGTACTCGAAGGAAGTTAGGCTCACGTCATTTTTTTCTCTATGATCAAAAGTGTACGAGTCATCTCGTTGTTTGTCAAAAACATCCGATGTATATGTATGTTGAACATCAACATATATAAGTATATTATAAAATTCTTGTAAATGTTGTATGACTATTCAGATTTTATCTGGGAAGAGGACTGTCAAGACCATTGGAACTTGTGTCCAGTCCCATTGACATATTGTCAATAAATACAGTACAGTGTAAGTTCTAAAACAAACACCTTAATGTACAAACTGTCGGTAAAATGCCTTCCAAGTATCAATAGAATTTTAAGACTGTGTTGATGAAGAATTTTTTTTATACTTCCATTTTCCTTAACATTTTAAATTCCCTCTGGCGGATAAAAATCTGAATGATAGACTATAAATGTACACTGCTACAGAAAACTAGGGCATCATGTAGAATTGCAGGTTCCGTTATTAAAATAGAATGCTGTCAATTTAATTAGGATCTCATTTGAGTGAAAAGGACTGTTGCAGACATGGGCATCGATAATATGTTGATTTGCATCATTTATCACTGAAAATAGGCAACAGAGTTCAAACAGATATTTCTATATTGATTGGATAAACTATCTATAATTTACTTTCGCTTTATTTAATCAGCCATAGTGGTGTATTAATTGAGATTCTCTGCAGGTACGATGTTGTTAAATTAATTTGAGCTTTTTTTTCATCTATGTTTGATTGAATGTAATTTCATTTAATTAAAGGATAAGTTATCTTCCGCAATTTACATATTTATGCCACTATTGGACCAGACGCTTTCTGGCTCCTTTTATCAGGGAAATCATTCACTTCTGATCTTATCGGAATATACATTTCTATGAGAAAAATCGACAATAGAATACCGTATACGCGCATGCGTACTTTACCTGCAGACGAGTAGCTCCAGTTTGAGCTGTACCTTTATACTCTGCTAAAGTTTTTTTCCCCCCACAAATTAACCTCATACTGATTTAGCCAAGTAAATAATTGTCACAAAAAAGAGATACGAAAACAACATAATAAAATTAAGCACAAATGAAAACTTTGTTGTTCTAGATTAACTGAACTGGTTCGCAATCATTTGTCGGACAGGACCAGTACTTGACACTCCACTAACCAAGTTACATACAAATTAACTGAGAAGTATATTTTCTCTGTATTTTCTTTTCAATTTTCATGCAAATTATCAGTAAAAAATGATGAAGTGTAGAATTCTTAGCCTACTGACACAATATGCGAAAATCAGTGGGAAAATTCGTAATGTACGTATCTATTTATTGTGCATGTCTAACATATACACGTACAACATATACGTATACATGTATACACGTTAATATTAACATATTAAATGTAGAGAGAAAAAAAAGTGTCTCGAGTATTTTTTTCCTTTAAAAAGATGATCTGTTGGACACTTTATTTACTAATTCTTTATTTTTAATGTCAGCTCTGCTAACAGATATCTAGCTCCAGACGGAATTACCACAACCCCGAGCTACATCTTAATATAGATGGGAAAAAGATGAAGAAAGTCTCTACACAATTTATACGTACGTCAATGGCAATAAGGAAATCATCTTTGGCTATAACTCCGTCATCATTTCTATCTGTGAAAAAAAAATGTAAAAAATGAATGGATTAATATCGGCGCCAAAATAAGAAGTACTAGTATTATAAGTTCTAAATGAATATAATTATAGATACATAAATATTACCCAAAATGAGACTTAAGTTTTCCCACCAGTGACGTACATGTATGCTATTTTACATTTGAGCAAGTGTTAAACATTGGGAAACTTGTATATATTTTAATTTCACAGAATTTACTTCGAAAATTACGATACTTTTTTATGATCGATAACAGGTCTCACTACCATTCATTGTTTGTCAACGACACACAAAAGTTCAAACTATCAGTCAAAATGTTTAAATTCAGGATTCTGATCTCTCTCTCCCTCTCTCTCTCATTTCCCTCCTGGAAACTTTTTTTGCTGAAAAGTCAATACTTGGAAAGCTGTTCTAGTATATGTTAGGTGATGGCAAAGTTTCGACATATTTGTATAATCTCTGAAACAAATCGTATTTGCGTGGGATTCCAAAATGTTCATCCATCAAGATTACAAGTGGCGCGTACATCTGGAGAGCTTAATGTTATAACATTATATCAGGCAAAATAGAGTTCATCACGCCATTCATATGATTGCCAAAACAGTCATATATTTTTACTCATACTTGCCATTATCTTTACCGCGCAGCTCCGTTTTTTTTTTACTTGTTGGGTCAAAAGTATTATTAGTAGCGTAAAAAGAAAATATTTTAAGGATTACAAAACCATATTTTTGCTTTGAGACTTAGGCCTTAAATGGCCAAGAATTAAAGACATATAGCTCAGCTAGCAAAATCACTAGCTTGAGGCTAGGGAACTTCAAAGTTATTTCTCAACTAAAACGCAAAATGAACTCTAATTGACAACCTATCTGAGGAAATATTTGCCTTCGTTTCTGAAGCTAGGAATCCTATTTTTAAAATTAAGTCCCAAAAGGAATTTTAAGACACGTAACGTTGTCAGACCGATGTGTCGATCAATACAAAGACAAGTAGTCGTTTTATAGCCTGTGGTGCAACGCCGGTCCACAGGGAACTTTAGAACGACGAAAAGTTTCTCAAACTGCTAAATGTGGCACCATTAGACGGTCTCTTTTATAGAATGACAAAATGACACCAGATAGGTGCCAGTCCTTATTAAAGCGCCAATTTCTGTTAATTCAAGAAATTGCTCTTGTCTTCTTCTCGAGGTTAGCGATGAAACAGTGTGTTATTTAAGGTTCACTGACCCTCTGATCATTCAAATAAAAGTTTTCCTTGGCACTTACGATTTTTCAAAAGAAATCTTATTTATTATTAAAATGCATACAATGTCAGTATACCTTGCGGTTCACAGTTTTACAGACGGGATAAAAGTCAAGCATGCCCTTTGGGAGTCATCTCCCTTATCAAAGTATCAATGAACCTTAAAGGACCCTCCTTGAAAAGCAAGATCAACTAGAGCATTCTTTTGCCAATAGTCTGAACATTTTGGTGTTGTTGACTAACAACGATATGACGTATGACTAACACCATAGATATCTTTATATTGTAAAATTTGTAACAACTAAAGTTTACGACTTTCCCAATGCTTTGACTTCCTAATAATGCTAAATCGCATGATGCGTCACTAGGTGTGATGCAAATATAAGAATGTAATTGCCAGCCGGAAGTCCTCTCTATGATAAAGCTATAATATTTTTGCCCATATCTAAAGACTGGAAAGTTAAACTCTACAACAAATATCAGTCCGGTTTTATATACGCGTACATTTAATATACAGTTGTATAAAGTAAATTTCTTGACCGTTTTCATTTTCCGAGAAAGAGGTACATAATTATATAAACTTTTTTTCTAAATGAAGGAAAAAGGGGGTTATGCTCATTTAAAAGATATTACTACTTTTAATCAACTCTTTATTACAAATGACAAATAATGAAAGTGCGAAAGAAAAGTCAAATTATAAAAATTAATACTCCTGCTATGAGTCGAAGATAGCGAACTCAAGATCTGCCTGTGTATTGTCGATTTACGTGAGTACAATTAAGATCTCAGCTTTCATAAAACACACTAAATTGTTTCTTTGGTTAAGCAGAAATCTTTTATTTATTCAGTGTCCATCAGAATTTATTGGTACACGAACCATGTATTGAACAAAGATGTTAATATTTCCTGCAATCTATTTAATGCTTTCATTTTCATTATCGGAATGTCTCCTCAAGTACGTGTTTTCATTATTTACATTTCTGAATCATCAAAGATTGAATGTTCTTTTCATAAATTGCTTTTATAGCGCAAACAGCTCTCCATCAGTAGAATTCTTTGAAAATCACGAGTAATCGATGATGACAAATATTTTCTGATGTGTTATATCTATCACGACAGTTGTTATTCTATGAGAAATAATTAAACAGACCAAAAAAAATAATAAAATGTAGTTTGATTTATTCCTTTAATGAATATAAGAATACAAAAAAACGTATTTAGTTATCTCGTCTTGCTATGCAACAAAATCCACTAAAATACACCATCTTTTTTTTTGTAATCGGTTACTGCCGATCACAGTTGAATCCATATGAGGCAAATCTAAATAAATCAAAATGTAATAATTTGCGTACACATGACGCGACGGACCTCGTTTTCTACGTAATGACAGCTTCGTGTAAATCTATCAAAACATATTGCAGTGTAATAACCTTTTCTTAATATATTTACTTTGAGATGCAAACAGAAAGTTAGATAGTAAATAACCTTATGTTTTCTCTATGTTGGCAAAAATTTCATTTAGTTCACCAACGGAAAAATAACCTTTCCTATTAGAGTAAAGGGTGTGTCGAGCAATTCGAAATTGTGCATTAGTTTATTTGTTTATTAGGTAATTGACTGCTCTCTACATCCTGTGTCATTACTAAGGCCCTAAATTGGACATTTGCATTTTAAACTTCCTGATCATTCTTCTAAACGAAACACATGTCCACTCCTGTATTAAGGCTTTGTATGAATGATTCCTGCATAGCATCATTAAACCCACTCAGAGATATCATCATATATCCTCCAGAGATGTACCGCATTTAATTTGGAATTTGAAATTTTACAACTAACAGTACTCGAATAACTTTGCCCAGTGAGATGATTTAAATCTACTTTGGTTTTAAAATTAGTAATCGAGAAATTCTAACTAAGGTGTTAACAACCTCGTACACCGATTTGGCCTCTGTGTTGCGAACAACAACAACAACAACAACAAAGAAGTACTTGTAAGCGTTTAAAAACACTGTAATACACTGCTTAAACTTAAGGAATTTTAAAACTTCTCTGCTTGCTTTGATGCAAAACGTACAACATACATGAACCTTATTATTCAATGATTGTCATGAATAATTCCTTGTGGAGAGGACTTATATAGGCAGTGCCTGCTGTCCAATCCAGTTATGTTTAATCATAATAAAATATTGTTTAAATAAATAAATAATTCCTAGCAGTTCTCTGATAGGCTGGGAGCTTACATTATAGAAATCCTACTAAGTTATGTTCACCTAAAGGAAACCTTAAGGTGAACATAACATTAATTTTTTTCTACATTTGATCAAAAATAGATCAGGAACTTTAAGGTTAACAGTTAGTTATGAAAAGTTATGCCCCCCTACCTAGCCGTCCAGTTGAACATAACATTTATTTTTTCTACATTGGACTAAAATTGATACAATTGGTTAAGAAAATTAATTTCACCTAGGCCTTATTTTCTAATCAACGTTTATTTAATTTTTGTTACGTACATCGGACCAAAAATGGATAAAAAATTCCAATTTTTCCCTACGTCCATCATTGCGTACGGCTAGGCACGGTTTGCTTAACAAGTTTGTATCATTTAAACATGGAACGACATAAATAAGTAAATATGATTTTTCATTCAATATGATGAATTAGCAACATTTCCATTGGGTTCGAAGAATACTGTACTCTTTGGATTGCTAATTCCTCGTATTGACCTAAAAAAAAAAAAAAAAAAAAAAAAAAAACCAGCCATAATTGTAGATTGTTTAATGTGTTTAGGATCTCAAATTTAATCCTTAGTTTGAGAAAACGCAGATGTAAGGAAATGACTATACTTATTTAAAGTCCAATCTACCGTTGAAAATATAGTATATACCTTAAGGGTGAAATTTTAAAAAAAAATATTTTTTTGTTAAATATGACATACTTTTGAATTCTAGAATTATACTTGCCATAAAGTATATTAAAAACCCGAAGAACCTTTTTTGTTTGAAACTCCGAGAGCTGATTTTCTGCCATATCTGTATTCCTGAAAGACAAGAAAAATACATAATATTATACTCAGGACATAAAAAGACAGGGAAATATGAAGAAAGTCATTAAAGAGTCGACCAAAATTTCTTAGTTTTATCTAATTATTTTTGACATGCCTGTTTGATTTTGGACTGTGATATATCATGGTTTTCAGAAATGTTACATATACTAGGACAACATAATAAATCGAATATGATAATAATTTATTTTTGGAATTTGTTGTGATTTTTTTTTTACATAAACCAATAAATTGTGTGCACTATTAGTTGAATGAATATAGTGATAATTCAAAAGAAATATTAACCCTCATACGGAGATACATGTATATTTCGAAGAGCCATTGTCTCTAAATATAGGATACAGCGCAGTTCTTTCAAAATGACACTCATTTATTAGTTTTGGTTTGGTTAAAACAGAAAAAAAGTTTCCCACTTCAAACCAAACACTGCGGTATACACGAGGTGAAAGCTTTCATTTCCATCCTCGCATGAGGCAAACGTTCACACACAGGGACACGTTGTACGCCAACGAGAAAAATGTTCTTAGTACATTCCAACACGGTCCCAACCTATGATTGAACTCTCTCAAACGCTTCCCGTAACTGTCGTGTTCGAAGGAGAGACGAACGCTTTTGCTACCATCCACTTACTTTTAGGAATCTTTTCGCTCTTATAGCACCCTCACTCTCTCACCTATACACAATTTTTACTCAAACTGTCTGACAGTGTCCTTTCACTTAAGGTACGACTTCTACCTACATACAGAAAAACCAAATATCTCGAATGCTCTCTGTATCATGTACATACTGTTATGTACATGCTTAATCTCACTACTCCCTCAGTCTAAACCCTCTTACGAAGAGGTGAATGCTCTTAGTGCAATCACAAGACAACCATCCACCCACGAGACGAAAGTTCTTACCCCAACAATATTAAAATTACAAAATCTCCATAAATGATCATCTGACGGAAAGGCAACTTTTAAAAAAAAAAAAAAAAAAAAAAAAAAAAAAAATCACATCCATTGTCACTCCATCGACCTTAAAAAAAACGTCTTTTTAACCGTCATTTAGCCCTCCAATAATAAGACAAACATTTGAAACACGCACTTTCACTCACCGACGAGGCAAACTTTTTAAACAGTCTCCTCCACCTTAACCTAGCCTTCCACCGAGCTCTTGGCGAAGGAACAGTTGCTACCTACTTTTTATCGACTTAGGTCAGTCGCAGCCGGAGTTTGAACCGCCATGACCTTCCGATTATGGAACGAGCGCTCTACCGACTGAGCTATCGTGACGGTGTGTTGTCAAATACAAAGATGCGATAAATCACGAGATTTGTCTCCACTGTACATGTTTGAAGGATGATTTATGCATACTTTTTCTGTTGATGGGAAATTGTACCCAGGGAACTTTTTAAAGATATCACATTCCCCAGTATTATCATAGAATCAATTCAACTTAATTAGCTTAATCTGGACTGATAATACGATAATTGCTAAATGATATACGTGTTAGCTTCTTAGTTCATGTGGTTTTGTAATACAAGATATAAAAGCAAAAATAAATGAAAGGCTCAAAAGTTTAGTGTTTTATTTCTAACAATTCAAATTTATTGTCGAAAGTAATATTATAATAATAATAATTTTGTTAAGCAATGATTAATAATAACTGTTTACTGGATGTTCTGAGTGACCAGTTATAGACACAGGTTGTTTGGCATTTCGTCCAGGGAACATGTGACATAAGTTAAATTTATTCAAAATAATATGGGACTAATTGGTAAGCTCTCTTTATATTTAGAATCTGATTTCTTGATAGGGTATAAAGGCTGGAATTATGACGTCATAGTCTTATCTGTAATTTTGGTTGTTGTTTAACTTAACACAATGTGGACAAAGATATGGTTTCACACAGATTAGTTTATCTCAGCCAAAGGGTACACTGGACTTGATTTTCAGTCCTGTAATCATTGAAAACGGAGAGTCATAGAAATTAAACCTTGGTGAAATTATTGATCCTACAATTTTCATTATAGATAGACAATGTGTAGAAATTCTAATTAACATATGATGTCAAACTGGCGAAAAGCAATTTTGAAGTTAATCCCCTACTTTTGAACAAAATTTTACAATCATTTTATGCCACAATATCATTGGTTTCCATAGAGACTATTACCGACATGTTTGAAAAATTATACATTACGTTGAATGCATATCTTTTTATGTTATTTTTTATTCTGTGTTTATTTGCACATTAGAGTATCAGCACTAAAAGGTATCAAATAACAAAAGCAGTATACTGATCAGAGCAATAATTGAGAAGAACTTTATTAACACCCTATAATTCATGCATTTTCTATTGCTAATCTCTTCTGAATGCACAACTATTTTTACCAATTACCATATGTCATTTTTCTCCACAAGATATTTGTGAAGTATGGAAGTTGGAATGCAAAAGACGCATTAGAAAAGCTTCAAAAACATTTCCGTGTCGCCTGAAGAGCGACACTAAGTGATAACTTTTCTGTGCGTCTGTCTGTCTGTCCGTCTAGTTGTCTGTCTGACCGTTTGTCAGGCTTATAGCTAGAAAACTGTAAAATGTATTGGTTTGATATTTTGCAAATATATAGTTTGATACTATGACTTTTGTAAAATACCAGGGTTACACATCTCGTGTTTTTTGAACTTGACCTTTGCCTACTTTTCAAAATATTTCATAGAGCCGATAAACGGCTTTTTTGACATTAAAGAGATAAATATCCGCTTTTTACATGTAGCATGTGCACTGTTTGTCATCAGATATTATTGAAAAAAATATACCAGAGTGACAGTCCACTTGGCCTTGACCTCCATTACAAAAATACTTCGAAAGGTTAATTTAAAACTTGTCTTTTGAATCACTTTATACTTGTACATAGCGATATCAGGTTCATCAAAGAGGGAACTATAGTTAATTAAAGTGTCAAAGTAATCACTCCAGTTTATCATTCATGTAGTTTCTATAGTTTCAAGGTTTTCATTATAATAAATTGAACACTTAACTACAGTTCACTATAGTTTAGCATCTTATTTAAGGAATTTATCTTCATAAATCTTAGTCTTTCTCATCAAAAGAACGTCTTGCTTTCACATTTGCCAATCAATACACTCGTTATTTGAAAACCCCCCAAAAATCAAAGTCAATCTTTTGAAGAATAAATTTGTTATTCATTGATTTTGTAAGAATTCCTAAGAAAGCATTTGTACGTTTTCATTCAATTGACTTTTCTGCTTTGTTAATGACATATTTCATTGTTTTTATCTCTTTGACACGGGAAAACGATGGGCAGAAAAGATAATTTTAATCCTTATTGATTGTAATGTTTTTCTTTAATTCTTTTGTTGAGTTTCATGTGGATAACGATTTTTAATGTATTTTGTATCTGATGTCCGTCTCCAGTTGAGGAGAAGATGTTTCTTTTCTCTTCTTTTCTAAATTTGATAAGATTAGTTGGGATTTCAGCAAAGTTAATTAAAACATAATTCTCAAGTGAATGCAAGATTATATAATTGGAGCTACAGAAAAAAAAACCTTCATCTATAATATGTGACCTCCCTTTCAGTTTCAAAACTAAGACATGCTGATGTTTTCAGAGAAGGCCCTTTTGTGTTTGAATATTTGATTCACTACTGTATATACAGGGTAATTTTCGTCCGCGTTTTATTTTAGCCGCTTTCGCCCTCGTTGTTTGAGGGCGAGTTTAAAATGGAGCGAATAAAAAAGACAGCATAATCTCTAAAGCAAAACTTTGTCTGGGCTAATTTAAAGCGGGGCAAACTTGTTTTCAAGTGTTATAGGGCGAAGATAACACGGGGTGAAAAATAACCCTGTATGCAGTATACCATAATAATACATTTGAATATGAAAATAGTTTGTATATGATTTTTATGACCTACCATAGTTAAGATACTTGTTTGGGGTCTGAGAATTTTCTATCTCAATTTTTAGATTTCACCTCGAATCTTACACAGAAATAATTTCTAGTTATCCAATTATCCATACAGATCAGATATGGAATTTCACACAATGATAAGTTACATCAATACTTGTTGTCTGATGTTTGTTTCATTTCTCTTATTTTGAATTAAAGTGCTTGTTCATATTAGAAAGGAAATAAGAGTAGCCATGCAACCTCGCATGAGCATCGTTCACCTTAAAGGCTCAATCATTGTCAAGCCGTATAACGGAGATCAGAAACGCGTTGTTGTATTGCTGATATGAAGTAGTAATGGGAAATTCATATTCCAGATAATCTGTATAAATCATATAGGTTAATATTTCAATAAAAAAAAAAAAAAAAAGATTTCAATATGTCATATCCCACTAAAGCAATGTTCTAATCTTCCCAAGGTAGTTTTCAATTTTTTTTTTAATCAAGCAGGATTTTATATTTTCCAAGTTCTATCTTAAAGGGACATATCATTCAAAACTCTATATAAGCACAAGGATAGCATCAGGAAAAAAATATTTGTAATGGAGCATGCAATCAATATTACATGTAATTATTTACTCAAACATGTTGTTATAATTTCTGAATTCACTTATATATTTTTCATTTCGGCATCTGAAGTGTATTACAAATCAATGTATCAGTAAATTTACGATGTTAAGATTCAAAAATAGAAACGAAAACGGTTTATAGTTATAAAACTAATAAATGCCTTTCATATTTATGGTCAAAATGAACTTTTATAAAACGTTTTTGGAAGATGTGCTCCTAGGTATAAAAAGATTCAATATCATTTGTAATAATGTACCACTGTGATGAGTTAAAAAAAAAGATTAAGCCCCAGAGACTTGATTTGTCTGTCACCGACTCACAAATCATATACAGTGCACTTTGATATTGTATATATATAGAAACCTCCTGAAGCAACATAGACAGAACATTGATGGTCCTAAGAGGAACGCATGCATTATGAAAGCAATTAAAGACGCCATCTTGGGAAGCCTCT